TATGCACTATTCTGCGTCGTCTTCGCGTTCGGCATGTGGAAAGGTCTTGATGGCGAGTCTTTCGCCGTTTCTGGACGCTCACTACGACTCGACAGCTCATTCAGACTCACCCAAACCGACGTTTCCACGATAATCTCAGCTTGCCTTGTCGCTGGAAGAGCCCTAGGCACTGCGTGGCAGGGTCTTGCCGCTTGGCGGTGTATCTTTATTCTCTTGGAAAAGACTGGCCTCTCTCTCGAAGATGCTAATGTCGTGGGCTCCTGGAAGCTACCACCGTGGTCAATCATGCGGTCAAGGTCATCATCCCGGCCAAATGGCGGTGCCGTAAAACTCCTTGCGATACTGTCTCTCCTACTTGCCTGGCCTGCGCAGCTCGCCAGTCCGCTGGCGACCGGCTCCGTGTCTTGGGTGCCAATTTTATCTTACGACACGGACTCAGTGAAGGCCATTTCTCTGGGCTTGGCGTCGCCTGGCGACGGATGGGCCAAGTACAAAAATGGCCTTAACATCCGCCGGGGCCTAGTCCAAATGGCTGCCGGATTAGCAAGCCTGAAGGCAATAACACCCCTTGAGTACAACAAGGGGTCTTTGAATGTGACCCAAGCGCGTCGCATGGGAACTTTCCTCGGCTCTTACACCAATGGTACGGTGGTTCAGAACGCCACGGTGCCCATCTTCAAGATCGAGTCCTTCCAATGGATCTCCGACGAGTCGCAAATACCCCCAACGATTCTCCAGACATTGCAGGATCCTAAGACCAAAAATCTCAAATTTGCCGAGGACGAGACGCAGATGACAAACGCCTTAGGGGCAACAACTCTTCTGAAAGACCAGCCCTGGAAAGTGCCATCCACGACGGCTTTGCCCGAGGCAATCGAGGTTTTGAGTGAAGTTCAATATGCCTCAATCTATGTGTTCTCTGGAGGGAAGGAGAAGGAATACGATTGCCATAAGAGCATCGGCTACACCAATAACACCGAATTTGGCCCTCTGCCGCCTGAGATCCACCTCGTTAAAAGCCGTCGCGAAGACCGTTCCGATTGCATTGCCGTCGCCAAGCTCAGGATCAGCGCAGGAATAACACACTGCAATCAAACGGTCCCAACATCCAACAGTTCGTCATGCTTCATCGCCTCGAACATCATTGTTTCCACGAGCGAAGAGGTTTTGCCAGACAACCTCACCGGAGAGATATTTGCTATGATGCAAGAGGTTCACACAGTTGTGGCATCTTTACGTATGAATGACCCAGAAACCTACATGGGGCGACTGGAAGAGGCCCTGTGCGACTCGCTCGTTCGGACCTACCAAGGAACATGGAGTGCATTAACAGAGGCCTTCTCACCTAGCACCTTCCCGGGCGGGATTGGAAGACTCGAAACCAGAGGTTGGGAGCCAGTGGAGGCTCTTCGGGCGGAGGTTTCGTCTGTAAGGATTCTTTCGTGGTTGGCTATTAGTATGTTGTTCGTCTTTTCTGGTTTCTTGGTGTTAGTTCTCGACGCCTTTTCTGACGGAAAGACGGTAAGTAACCCGGTAATTGCAGCTATTATGTTAGACAGCTCTGGAGTTATTGAGGCGGATCATACTGGCCTTTGTAATGCGGTGGATATCAGTAAAGATCATGGGAATGATACTGAGCGGAGACTACGCTTAGAAGTCAGCAACGGGAAGGCTGAAACGAGCGACTACAAACATCCGAGATTGGTACCAGAGGAAACTTCGGCGACTTATCTCACTTAGTTAGTTGCAACTGCTAGTAGGTACTGTATGCAATATCTACGTTAATCATACATATTAGGCCCCTAATCAGAACTTGAAGACTTGCCACAGCTGAGACACATGTATTCTTGCCCCTCTCATGGATGTTTCGAAGTCGTCGAGTGATGTTACGAACTCGAGAAGCGCCAGCACATGTCGAGAAAGTTTCGAGCCCACCCAGTAGGGGTTTTGACTGTAGGGAAAAAGCAGTAAAAGCACCTTGGTCAGTGCCCGCTCCAGTACTTTCGCAGTATACGTACCCAGGGTAAAAGCCTTCAGTACAAAACTGTAGTCTGGTAACGACGCAAGATCGCTGCTAGCTTAGTCTCATATAGACGTCGTGAGTGGGTTTCGTTGAAAGTAATTGGACTCTACCAGGCCAAAGCCAACGTTGACAAGGTATCTGGCTGCATATGGGCGTCGGGACTCCAATGCAAACTGAAGAAAAGTAGGTTCAATCGGAACGTTGGCTCTGAAGAGGCTGCTTAAGTGTAGCAATGTCTGTACGCTAGAATTGCGATCCAGGGATGAGGCTTGCTTCTCATTTATTTGGTCGATAACTTCTAGTTACGATTCTTTCTTGAAAAGCTTGAATGTTGGCACGCCGTGTGGACGAGTTGCCCGAAGCGGAAGTACCTTTTCCGTCCGACACATAACTTGTAGACGTGAGAGTGCCAAGTTCTTTTCAATGGCCCACACGAAAACCGTGGTGCAAAGTAATGTTGTTCGCAAAATTACTGCTGTAGACGTGGCCCTGAAGATTTATTTTGCCAACCAGGGGACACGGCCAACTCCGTATTTGCGGGTGTTTAATACGGAAAGCTTCCGAAGAAGGGAATCCTTTCAACTTTGCCACTGAATTGATATGAAACATATTGAATCATGCTGTGTCTAAGTAGTTACAGCTATATTCTCCGGCGTGTCCAAAGTGTCTGATGCTGACACAGGATAATGGCAAAAGGTTGCTGAAGCTTCCGTCGATGGCCAACGATGGACTTCAATCTTGCCTTGAATCAAATTCCCTTCGCAAACAACTTTGGACTTGCTGACTTTCTTGTTAGCCCAAGACTGTTATTGACGAAGGCCCCCTGACAGTCTAAATGCTGTTCCGAAACTAATCAGGACCTTATCCAAAAGCGAGGCGGCCTCTGGATGCAAAGAGCCGGTCAGCGCAGTAGGGGTGCCTAGAGCGGATCTCAATTAGCAGACCGTCGGCTGCATCAAAACGTATAAAAAGTCGCAGGACCAGCAGCATCACGCGAATAAAATTCAAAACTCTTCATCAAGATACAGCCATCTCACACTGGTTTTCCTCGCTGTATTTGGGATCATGGCAATTGCTCAATTTGGTGACATCAATTCAGAAGGGACAATACAACCCATTTTGTCTATAGACTATTGTAATTCCTCCATACGTTGTAGAGGCACGTTGTAGAGGCGAGAGACGAGAGCAGCAATGTCACTCATCCACTGCTCTAAAAGTACAGGAACAAGAACTTTTCACAGTCTTCCTTAAACTACTTCCTCTGTCTAGACATCATCCACCCACCCGCCTGGAATGCGGAGCGGCGGATTCTCAATAAGATCCCAGAATTCCCCAGCGAAATCATACGCGTCAGTATCCCAGACAAGGTACCAGTCTTCGGGCCGAGGGCCGTATTCAAACGAGATAAGCCTCATGTTGTGCCAACTGTGCCAGAAGTTTTCTCGCATATAGCCTCGCCCATGTCGAAGAGGACAGCTCGGATCAAGATATATGGCGAGTTCGCGCCTACCGTACTCCTTCAGATCTATGCCCGCAGACTGCACGTCTTCCAACCAAAATCACATGGCTCGAGACACCCCTTGCATCTTCCAGCGTACTTCCCGACGCCTTTCGCGAGGTGAACTTCTGTCTGGAAAATCGAGCTCAAAATCTATTCTGGACAGGCCGTAGAGCAATGGCGTCAGGTTGTGTCGATGGAGACCGACTGTCCTCAACTCCGTAAGTTTCCGAAGAGAGATTCCAGAAAGATACCATCGCGTAAGTTCCCGCCAAGAATGAAACTCGTGAAAGCGTCTCGGACTTTGACGTCTCTCCCTCTCGATTGAACGAACCCGAAGGCTATCCCAGAGACCAAGAGGTATCCTGCAGTAATATAACCGTGCCAACAATTGCAGGCATTTTCCTCTCATTGCGGTATTGATGGCCAGGCTGTCGTAATATCCCTCAACTTCCCTCAAAGCAGCTGGACTAGTACCGGCACCCATGCTGAGCTGCTCTAGTAGAAGTTCCAGTTTGATATTGTCCCACGAAAGATATGTAAAGCGAGCTTGCGGAGACAATTGCAGGTACTCTTCGTACCGGTCTCCAACCATCATTTGTAAAATTCCAGGATTCTTCCAGATATACTTCGGAAAAGCGTAAGGGTTGAAACTCCAGGTACCAGAGAACATTGCATCGATTTCTTTCTCAAGAGCTCCCGCGTCGACCATCAATTTAAAAAAAACCGGCGATCGTTGTATCAGGCCAATGCCTCATATTGGAAAGCCTGATCATAACTGAATAGCCCAAATCATCTGTTTCCGTAGGGCTCAAACCCCAACTCAGCAACGCTCTGAACGTGTCTAGTTTCCCGCCGTAAGCTGCAATCTGAGCATACCAGTCAGCTATTTCTCAATTCACGTCTAGTGAATCGTGGTTGCCTTACATGAATCAGTGTTCCCCCCTCCTCATCACGATCGAACAGGGAGGCGTCTCCCACGGCTAGTGCCTTCTCAACATCCGCGAGCTTGCCATATCTGACATCGTTGAAAGTTTTGCCATAGGTAGGTCGCTTAATCCATGGCTTGAGACAGATTTGCCAGCCGACTTGAGCGCGGTACGTCTGCAAGTCAAATACCCTTTGGGACATCCACCTTGGGAGTTGTAGACGGATTTGGTGCACTACCAATATGTTAGAGCAAGCATTCGAACTTGTGCCTCTGTGAGCTTACCGGCGCTATTTGCGTAAAAGGAATTCTGAGACTGCTTGTAGGTAAAACCTCCAAAGAAAGACGGTTTTTGCCATGGAAGAGGCTTCGGGCCAATGTCATATCCGATTGGGCGAATCGTTTCCAACCGATCGGAGTTGCTTGCGTCGGAATTGCTCGTGCCGGTCTGCACCTCTTGCGAGTCATCCACAACAGTGTCCAGTGAAATTGGCGCTGGGTCTTGAACCAGTTCTACTACAGGCTGAGACTTCATGAAAGCCTTACAAGAGTCAGTTTCTATTCAAACTCTGAGCGAGGATTGATTGCGCCCACATCATATAGCTTTGCTGCGAAAGCGAGATCAGGTGCAACGCCCAACCGATCCGTTCCTGGTACTTCCGAATGTCCTCCTTCTTGAACGAGACCTTGAGCTTCGTGATGTTTCTTCTCGATCGCTTCGCAGTGCTGATCCTGGCCTGCAGGTCCTCCGCCAAGCTCTCCAGATCATTGACAGCGTCTCGACAGTACTCGATGCTCGCCTGCAGATTGGTGGCACTGTTCAAGTAGACCTTGTGTCGCTGCTGTTGCACGAAATCGGCCTCCATCCCCGCCAGGACGGGCTTCAGTATCTCAAGCTGTCTCATGATGCGATTCATCTCTTCGGGGATGTCCTGGATCTCGTCCCATAACTTCTTCAGCTTCATGACGCTGAGGCCGAATTTTCCCGCTAGCTCAGCGACTGCAATCGCGCTGCTGACAACACCGAGTACTTCTGCCATAGTCGCCGTTGAATTTGCGCAGTCATGAAGGTACCTTTGGGATGTCTCTCGAGACTTGAAACCTCCGACGCGCCTCCGGGGATGCTACTCCCGCCGACGTGACTTTTGGAAGGTGGCTGGAAAGTCGAACAACGAGTGGTTTGGGGGAAGACCAGTCAATCAGGGCTGGAGGCGGGGTTACGTTCGTAATGAGACCCACGGTAAGGCCGCACTGAGAAGGCCTGCCTGCTGAGCTGTAGCATCTAAGAACCAACAGCATTCGTGCTGCAGATACATGCATGATGCGACTGCATCTATGGCGTGTGATTCGATGGCGGCTGGCGGCTGGCGGGACCAACAGGGGATGTCTGCCCACCTTGTCAACCGATTGAATTTATCACTGGGCATTCAGAATTTGGGCGAGTTTATGAATCCGATTTTTGGTCCTTTATCTGGGTACGTATACTGCGAAGCTACTGGACTGAGAACTGACCGAGATGCTTTTACTGCTTTCCCCCCCAGTGTGAAACCCCCTGAACGGGCTCGAAACTCCCTCAACATATCGATTCTTTATTATCCACGCCGTTAGCAAATGATTTACCTGAGTTTGAGAAACACTAGATAATGACAAACTCTGGACATCGTAGTCAGCTTTGACCTGACGGGAATCTAGTGCAGAAACTCAGACGGATCGTGATCCGCTCAATCTCTGTCGACATACCTTGAGTTTGTAGTTCCGACGCAGTCCCCCTGCAAAAAGACCACGGCAAATTCACCCTGTTCGCGGGCACAGTTCGGGCAAGACTATGAGTATTTGACCTGGGCCCTCTGCCGGTCAAGGAAAACATTACAGAAACCCCATACGCAAGCCCTCTGAACATCATAAAGTCGATCGCGCGCCCTGGCCGATTGTCTGGAGGCGTGTAGTTAGAAAGCCTGTTGCACTAAGCAGGTGAAAGTCACTGTGGACGGCCAGGGGCCATCGACATGCCTTGAGGCGGTCATATACGGGGAAGTAATTCTGTTGGTACTCATTGGGCCGATCCATACCCATTCCCTGAAGACAAGGGTTGAGCGCATTACGAGCCGTCTGACGGGACTTTCAAGCAAGCCGCAGTTACTGGTGACTTGAGTGCAAGCACAACGAACACTGCTTCGGGTAGACAGCTGTATCAATCTAAATTATGTATAAACGAAAGTATGTAGTTCTATGCATCATTCCCAATACACACACGCAGGTCCCAAGGATCACTGAATCGTCGGAGGCGGCGTCGGTTGCTTCTTCCGTCTCGGCGGCTCCACCTTGACCGGCTCCGGCATCTTCGCGACCTCCGCCTCTTTAATCTCGGCCTCCGTGACAACCTCGGGCTGCTTGAGAAGGTCAGACTCCTCCGCCAACTCAATCTTCCTCACGGTCTCATTCTGGTTGGCCTCCGGCTTGACAGGCGTGGGCTGAAGCACTTCGATCTTTGCCGGCTCCGGCGCCTTCACAATATCAGGCTTGACCTCGACCTCAGGCTTCACCGGCTCCTTCACAGTCTCCTTCTCAACAACCTCAAAATCAGGCTCGACGACCTTGGCCTTTGCCTCCTCCACCTTCGGCGCCTCCGTCTTCACCTCCCGCTCCATCACAACCCCGCTATCCCTCCGCCCATCCCACAACTCCCTCACAGCGCCCCAGTACCTCTCCCCGTCCGTCCTCGCGTGCGCCACATGCTGGCTGCCCTCGAACCTCTCCCTGCCCACCCTGAACCCGACCTCCCGCGCCTCGTTGGCGTGCTTCTCAACATCCCCCCAGTAGATCATCTCGTCCTCGCGGCTGTACAGATACACCCGCCGCTGCTCGCTCTGCAACAGCGCCTTCTGCTTCAGCGCCGCCCACATCCTGCCGAGAAACCCGTGCCGCCCGCCGAACGGCACCTGGAAGATCCAGAACCAGCCGATGAAGACGTGCACCAGCGGCGCCAGGAACCGCGGGAACACCGCCGACAGCGCGCGGTAGCTGCGCATCCAGTGGAACCCGCCCGGGCACGAGTCGTACACGCTCACGTGCGGCGGCAGGCTGCCGAGCCCCCGGCCCGCGCGGTCGGCGGCGGCGTACAGCTCGAAGAATTTCGAGAGGTTCGACGCGCCGCCGTTGGAGAAGACGTGCAGCAGCAGCTGGGGCCGCTTCGCCTCGCCGGGCGGCGTGGCGTCCGCGAGGGCCCGCACGACGGAGACGGCGGGCTTGATCTCGCGCTTGGCGATGCGCACCGAGAGCGTGTGGATGAAGGGGCACTTGACCAGCAGGATGCGCGCCGTCGGGTAGAGGGCCATGTAGCGCGAGGTGTACTTTGCGATGTGCACGTCTTGGGCGGACATCCAGGCGAAGATGGCGATGAGCTGCGGGGAGCCCGGGTCCGGGGCTGCCGATGGCGGCTCGTAGAGGAATGTGTTTGGGGAGAGGGCCCTCATCTGTGGGAGAGCCCCTTGGGTGCTTAATTGGTTTGAGGCCATGGTGGATGATGCTTTGGCTCTCGATGTGCGGCCGCGGATGTGCTGGAGTGAGATGGGGGATGATGATGAGTTGGAATGTGGAGGGAGTGAGGTCGGATATAAAGTAGTGGACCTGAGGTCATGGACGAGACACTAGTTGCATTTAGACGCTGCAAGTTCAGCCTTAAGTTGTGTCTTCTTGGGACGTGTAGTCATGGCAAGGTTGTTAAGGTTGGCAAGGTTACCCCTTCCGGCAACTGCCTCGGCTTGAAACCCCTGGTCGGCGGGGTTGCGAATCCATCCTCAACGGTAATCTAGAGGATTCTCTGAAGGATCGCTGTTGAGAATGGGTCTACGACTCTAGGCATCCACTGATCGCAATTCGTAGCAGGGGAATGGCTCGGATTGATATGGAAATTTGAACCCAACGGGCCGGCGGCAAGACAGCAACGGCCGCCTCGGCGAGTTGGGGTAAACGCTCCGACCACTAGTCATTGCAGGACCATGAAGTTGGCGATTGAGCGGTGTTCAGGCTTGAACCAGTTTACAATTTGACGTTTAATTAATGTCAAAATTTGAGTACAGGGTGGCAGCTCATAACAAGTCGTTCCATGGCAACTGTTCGTACGAAGATAGCATCAATTCTACCCGGAGTCGTGCTGCCCAGTTCAAACCATGTGAAGGACAGATTGTTTCACCCGAAGTTACCAACGGTATCCCAGCTAACAAAGTCTTGAATCATCAGTCAGCCTCATTTCCCGTACTAGTCAGTTCAGTTCAGATGAAGCTCCGTTGGTGACATGGAAGTAGTTGTGACAGGTTGGGGAGAACATCGTGTCTACTAGCGCGGCAGAGGGAAGGGTATGCGGACGATGCGCCGTCTCGCATGCCGCATGAATGACAAACAAATCGCGCAGAACGCAGCCGTCGGATGTGGAAGTACGCCTCGCGGAGTCTGGTAGGTTTCTACCTTACTTAGCGGTGGCAAGGGATATTTGCTTGGTCATGAGTCTGCACCACGGTCACCCTGGCTGCAGCTGCCAGTGTGCCAGAATACCCTAGAAGAGTCAGAAACCCCAGACGCCTCGCCGTTGGAAGTCTTCGCTATTTCCAAATTTTGATTGCTTATACCCTGAAAGCCGTGTCCTGTGCCACTCGCCCCTGGATGACACCTCGGACGGCAGCTGCAGGTTCCCGTTGAGCGTGGGCACCACGGCTGGACGTCGGACGTAGACATTGAACCGAAATTGAGAGCTGCGTGTGCCATTTTGAATTAATTCCAGGGTTGTTTGGAGGATGGTACATTAGGTTGGCTGCTTTCTGAAAATCGATCGACTTCGTGACTGCTTCGAGGCGGCAATTAACATAGATGCCGTTGAGTGAAGTCGGCATTCCCGACCGGCCAGTCGTCTAAGCGGCAATGATTGAAAGGTCTGGACCTTGAGTCCTATCACAGCTCGTGTTGTGAACATGTGCAACTCCAGAGTCGGGTACATATTCGCGGCCAGCCCCGTTCGTTCCGTGATCCCGTCAAACGGATGAGTGGACTTGCACGGTCCCAAGTCCAAAGGCCCGATTGACTTGGACGAGTTTGGACCGCGAGCTCGGGACGAGTGCGGCGACAGAAAGGAGTCGAATGACAAACAAACGGACATTCGGTAGTGATTGATTGCCTCCTAAGTCGTGATGCGTCTGATGGAGGAAGACTGGGCACGGGTTAGCTATGTCATATGAAGATGAACCGGGAAAGGGAGACATCTGGGTCTACCTGAGGCAGCAAGGACCTGTATTACGACAAGCAGGGAAGTAGTTGCCGTGTCCATGAGCTCCTCCCGGATGTGACGACGTTACCAAACGAGACAGGCGCAGGGTCGCCCCTATCGTGACTTCCGCGACGGCAACCACCCTCTCGGCCCCTTCCCCCTTTCGCAAGCCACGCCTTCCCGGCGTCACAAATAACTCAGGAGGAAGCGACTGCCCGAGAGCTGACTGGGTAGATGCCGTACCTTCCATCTCTCTCTTCCCTCGACCCCTCCTTATTACCTCCCTCCTTCGTTCCAAGATTCCGAATCTCCTCTTTCGCAACCCATCACTTCCCTCTCTCCAGCTGCCTCATCCAGAGATTCCAGCTGTTGAGCCACTCCTTCGTTCACTCTCTTGTTCATTCTCTCGTTCCACCAGACACTCATTTCTTGTACATTCCTTCCAACTCCCTCTGCCCTTCATCGCCATGAGGGTCGCCCATATCCTCTCCTCCCTTGTGGGAGTTGGTATACTCACCGCCAACGCTGCTGTCATCGACAAGCACAAGACCAACAGCATCGAAATCATCAGCCCCCTCAAGGGCATCAGCTTCCAGCGTATCAAGGCTCACCGCGAGCCTATTGCTGAGGATATCGTCGGCCGCACTCAGCCCCTCAAGGCCTTCCGCGGCAAGATCGCTGGCCACAATGCCGCCACGGCCCTGCAAGCTGCTCAGCCCAAGGACCTCTCTAATGCCTACCAGAACATCACTGCCCTGACTCCCTACGGCACTCAATACTCCATCGAGGTCATCTGGGATGGAAAGCCCCTCAACATGCTGTTCGACACCGGCAGCAGCGACACCTGGGCTGCCAGCACCAATCTCTCCTGCGTCAGCATGACGGGCACTGTTGCCTACCCTCAGGAGGCATGCGCCTTTGGCCCTGACCTCATTGATGGGTTCAAGTATGGTCCTGTCGAGGACATCCATTTCGCCCTCAGCTACGGCTCTGGCGAGAAGGCGTCGGGCCCCATGGGATACAGCGATATCGAGGTCGCAGGCATCGTCGTTCAACAGCAGCAGGTTGGCCTTGCCAATCTCACTCACTGGTACGGCAATAACTACACCAACGGCATCCTTGGTATGGCTTACCCCTCCATTACGAGTGCCTTCACTGGTGATGCCACTGAGAAGCGTCCTGCCTTCCAGGTGCCGTACCAGCCCTTCTTCACCAGCATGGTCCAGCAAGGACTCTCTGCAGACTCCTTCAGCGTTGCCCTCGTCCGCAACTCCTCGGGCGTGATTGCTTGGGGTGGCCGCACTGGCGTCACCATCTCGAGTCCCACGGCGTACACGGACCTCATCATCGTAAGTCGCCTTCCTCGTCTTCCTTTCAATGGTTGCAACCCCAGCTGACATGCCGAAAGACACAAATCAACACTGAGCGACCAGAATCCGCCTGGCAGTACTCGTACTACACGATTCTTGTCGACGGCATCAAGTGGGGAACGACGACAGACGAGAGAAAGTTCCCCTACATCGTCGACACGGGAACCACCATGATGTTCGTCCCTCCTCCTATCGCAGAGGCCATTGCCAGGTCATTCTCCCCCAGCGGCATCTACATGTTCCAGTACGGCTCTTACTTCGCACCCTGCGACGCGGTTGCTCCGCGTGTCGCGGTTGTCATCGAGGGCAACAGCTTCTGGATCAACCCTGTGGACCTCATCTTCCGCAACATGAAGGATCAGCTCACTGGGTACTGCCAGATCGCCATCACCACTGGAGCTACTGGTCCATATGTCCTCGGATCAGTCTTCCTGCACAATGTCGAGGCTTATTTCGACGTCGGCGCTGCCCAGATGCGCTTCTACTCCCGACAGACCTTTGGTCCTACGCCCGAGGCCTCAATTGGTCCGGATCGTGTGTCTGTCTAACAAGTTCAAGAGTCCCGGTTTCTTTTCTGACCAGTAGAGCTAGGTGTGGATGAGATGCATCAGTTATCATATCGCGGATCAGAATTGTCGAGAGATTGATTTGCTCCAAGCTTCTGGGGTCTGTGGGACCAGGAAAATTGCTTTGCCAGAGATGTGGTTGTCGGTTGCTAGATACTTAGGTTGGTAGAGTTCAGTCTAAGCATGCCACTTGCCTCATGTTTCCTTTGATGAGTGATGCTCTCGATTCATGGTCCATGAATGGAGCTCCCTTGCCTGGTTCAGTGATGTTTTGGGCGAGTAGAGAGCTCTGCAGCTGTGCAATTGTAGCTTCCCAGATGCATTCATAGAGACGGGAGGCAAGCAAACCTAGCGCAACTGGCGTTCCACAGTGGACAGTGCTGAAACCAGAGGCCGGATCGGGACTTATCGGAGTGGCGACGGAGGGCTTATCGCGGATACAGTAGCCTTATCGATAACGGGTGTGACCTCACCGGTTCGTGGGCACCGATTTCTGCCACTTCATTCAACAGTTCGTGATCCAAGCCTGTTGCAACCCTTCGCCCTCACCGACTCCCTCTGCCTGGCGACGCCTAGATTCTACCTCAAAGGACACGAATACCTCTTCTTCTTCACCTGCCACTGTCTTTTGCGCTTTAGCTCCTCTGCAGCCCGTCTCCTCGTCCTCACGGTCAGCCGCCCCTGACCGCCCGGTGCGTGCTGCGGTTATTCGGCACTCGCTGCACCGACCGACACTTTGTGCCCTCCGACATCCTCCGCCATTCGTCGGCAAAAGAAAAGTCCAGCAGCATCTGGAGGTTCGACAACGGGGCACGAGTTTCTGACAGCAAGGCCAAGAGCGAAGCGTTTCCAGAGCCTCGGAAATTTCGAAGCCTTCAAATCGGACCAGCACCTCAGCCAGTATGGGTATCGGAGTAATCCCGGCGGGTGCGCCCCTGGTGGACGGCAAGCGACAGCCCAGGAGGCAGCATACCTGGAGCTTTAGCAAGGTACGATGAGTCTTTGATTTCCTTCTGTTGGTTTGTTTCGAGAGTGTTTGGTTTCAACTGTTTTCCGGTCTTGTCTTGCATCTTTGTCCCGTTCTGCTACCTGGGCATTACTCGGTAAGGTGCAGCTCAGTGAGTTGTGCAGCAGCCACTTAGCTCTCAGAGCATCAGAGCCTCCGATATTCAGGGACTCGATTTTCCATCCTTCCCGTCACCTTCGCCCCCGATTGAAGGAATCAGTCTTTTTTTTTTTCTCAATTGCGCCCATGCGGTGTGAACAATTACGCAGGGGGTTCGCTGGCATCTGAGAAAAACCAACCCCTGAGAAAAGGCTCTGCTGGTTGATACGATCTAGCAATCGTGCCGATTTGCTGGGCTGCCCCCGTGTCGCGTCCCGGCCGGCTGGACTTGCTGGTTCGGAGCAGGGCCAGCCAGCAGCATAGGCCCGGCTGGGCTGGAGTGGGGGTGCAACAGGAGGATAAAGGAAAAGCCCCTGACGCGCGTGGGTGGTGAGGATTTACCAGCTGCGCAAGTGCAGCAGCAGCAGCGGTGTAAATTCTCAATTCCCATATTTTTTTTCTTGTCGGCCCAGGTCAGGAGACCCCTTTGGACCGGATGACCTTTTCCCCTGGCGAATTGTACGTGGGGGGATGTCAGGTGCTAGTGGCCAAGCCTGGCTGGCTTGCTTAATTGAGCTGCTGTCTGAAGGTCTTTTCCGTTTTCTTAGCAGAGTGCTGCTGCTGCCGGCTACATGTTTGCACGGCCGGCGTTGTCTCAGTAGTGGCCGGGAATGATCGGATGGAAGATAAGAATGCATGTTGGCTGGGAGCAGAAGCAAGAATGGCAAAGTTGTTGAAGGAACAAGAAGTTCTTATTGTTCTGGAAGTGGGATTGGAATTTCAATGTTTTACTTTTCCTGTCGCGACACGGGGGACTCCTTCAGGTTTCGTTTGCAGCTGTGGCTCCGTCATCACCAAAGGCAAGTGCAGCATGCGTTCAGTAATGCATCCCGGCATCTCTCCTGACGAACCGGCTATGACTGGCGAGTCGGATGGGAGTGTATTTGGCCGTGGGCTGATCTCCACCTCGGTTGTGTTCGGTGAGGGCCAGAGACTTGAGCAAAAGTGCAGGAATTAGCTGGTCTTCACTGGCTGATGAGTGCTGCGAGAGGTCCCGTTGAATGCGGGGACGGGGAGCTGAAGCTTGGAGCTGTCACGTTGTGCATATTTCTCAAGGAGATGGAGGCCCGGTAGAGGTTCTGGATGGGCTGCTTAGTGGCTGCCCGCCCACCCCCAGGCTGGAAAAGTTCAGGGACCGGAGAGAAGCGGGCACAGGAACGCCAAAATGAGGGGCACCGGACGGGGGGATTGGAGTTGGCATGGGGTCATGATGGAGGGGCGGGCAGGCCACGCCGAGGCTTCACCTTGCAGGACTTGGACTTGGACTGCCTTACTGCGTACACTCACTACCTTACCTAAGGTAAGGTCATGTCAAAGATTGCCATGGTGCACAGCAGGAATGGGCCAATAGTCAGCAGTCCTTGCAGGGTGGTGATCTGGTGCGTCTGCTGCTGCTCCTGGGAATCCCGATTGCAGGGAAAGGAAACATGGAAACATGCAAGCAGCGCTCTGCAGAGTGCGACAGCTGTGTCCGTAGCTGGTGCGCCTAAGTCTGTGAATCCGCCCCAGTGGGCTTGACTCTCAGTTCCGCCCTCTGTCTGACCTGATGAGACACCGGACTGATGCGACGAGGTGGGCTATCGTCTATTATGGCGGCAGCTGTTGCCTTTTTCTGCTGTTCCCTCTTGCCCGGTGTCATGGAAGTCTAGACTCCAGTCCAGTCACTGCTAAAGCAGCAGCAGCTTGTGTTGACTCTGGCCGGTGGTTCGCAGCTACCTTACCTTACCTTACTGCAGTCACTCAGTCACTCACGCTACCCTCGGGATAGCCTCTCGGCGTCCCCTGCTTCCTTTTACGTACCGCTCTCTCAGTCCCCTTCCGTTTCTCCAGACTCGTGCACGCTGCTCGCCCACTCATTACTCTGTCCCCTCCACCCTCACATCACAGTGCTGCCATCAGATCACTTTACTCTCGAATCTGCCCCCTCACCCCGTGCATCTCTTTTCAACTTCTCTACAACACCAAACAGCCACACCTGCATTCTCACGCTTCCAACGTATACCATATACGGCCATACATACGCAAACAGACAAGGACCCTGACCAGCTGTCCTGGGAGTCCTGCCTCACGCCAGCGCACATTGTCTTTCCGTCTGTCCCCTGCTAGCGGCTCTTGCAGCACCTGGGAGCTACGTAGCTGTCGTCGGGTCGAAAAGTGCCTCCACCCCGGCTGTGCTCCAGGCCACCGCACCCGCCCCCGAACCTCACACCGGGGGGTCCCGCCTTTTCTGGGCGTAGAGCTACCGCCTCTGCTGGAAGCATCACGCGAGCTGCCTTCCGTGCCCGCCGCAACCTCGCGCCTTCTTGTTCCTGCTGTCTCTGTTCGCTTCTGCATGGTCTTCTTCACGCGTCGCTCCTCGTTGTTTCTCTCGTCGTAGCAATATCTCAAAATAAACGTGCACGTCGGCAAGCCGTCAAGATGCCATCAGCCAAGACTAACGGCATCGGCATCCAGGTGGAGGACCTCAAGATATGTGTCGTCATGGTCGGTCTGCCCGCCAGAGGCAAGAGCTTCATCGCCCAGAAAGGTACGTTTACAACGCCATCACACAAGCTTCGGCACGACTCGCGCTTCGGGGCCACCAACTTTCAGGAAATCGTGACTGACCTTTCCAGCGCAACGGTATCTGGGATGGCTCTCAATCAAGGCCAAGACCTTCAACGTCGGCAGCTACCGCCGCCAGGAGGATGCCCACCCCTCTGCTGACTTCTTTGACTTTCACAACGCAGAGGGTGAGCGGAGACGTCGCGCCGCCGCCGAGAAGGCCATCGAGGACATGCTGGCGTGGTTCCGCCAGGGCGGTGTCATCGGCATCCTCGACGCCACCAACTCCACCAAGGAGCGCCGCAAGTGGGTTCTCGACATCTGCACCAAGGAGGGCATCGAAGTCCTCTTTGTCGAGAGCAAGTGCGATGACGAGAACCTCATCATGGCCAACATCCGCGACGTCAAGCTCACCTCCCCGGACTACCAGGGCCAGGACCCCGAGGAGGCGGCCCTCGACTTCCGCAACCGCATCCGCAACTACGAGAAGGTGTACAAGTCGCTTGACGAGGACGGCGACGAGGATGAGTACACTTACCTTAAGATCATGGATGTCGGCAAGCAGGTCATCATCAACCGCATCCAGGACTACCTGCAGAGTCGTGTCGTTTACTACTTGATGAACCTTCACATCCGGCCTCGTTCCATTTGGTTATCAAGAGTGAGTCTTTTGTGACCGGTGAGTAGAATTACACTGACATGGAACAGCACGGAGAGTCCATGTACAACTTGGACGGCCGCATTGGCGGCGACACAATGCTCTCGCCTCGTGGTGAGCAATATGCCAGGAAACTTCCCGAGCTCGTCAGGAAATCAGTCGGCGTAAGTAAACCCGCACACGAATCTCACCTCACGCTCACATCTACAGGACGACCGGCCCCTCACCGTTTGGACCTCAACACTGAAGCGCACCATCGCCACCTCCCGCTTCCTTCCTTCCGACTACAACCAACTGCAGTGGAAGGCTCTCGACGAGCTCGACTCTGGTGTGTGCGACGGACTGACCTACCAGGAGATCAAGGACCGCTTCCCCGAGGACTTTGCCGCCCGCGACGAGGACAAGTACAACTACCGCTACCGCGGCGGCGAGTCCTACCGCGACGTCGTCATCCGCCTCGAGCCCATCATCATGGAGCTCGAGCGCTCCGAGGACATACTCATCGTAACCCACCAGGCCGTCCTGCGCTGCATCTACGCGTACTTCATGAATAAGTCTCAGGCGGACAGCCCGTGGATGAACGTGCCGCTACACACTCTCATCAAGCTCACCCCGCGTGCCTATGGAACCGAGGAGGTGCGCTACGAGGCCAACATTCCGGCTGTTAGCACCTGGCGCGGCAAGGGCTCCACGGCCAAGCATGAGAACCCGACGGCGGAGTGTACGTGAGCCAGAGCGAATTGGACATGAATCATGATGAGAAAGAGCAAGTTTGACTAAGGCCGGATACAGGAAAAAATAAGTTGAGGCGATGAGCGGATCGGCATACGGGGGCCATCGGGTCCCAAAAGAGCGTGCGGCGGATTTCCTTTTTCTTCACTTGACGACGACAATGTCCTTTCCATTCCAACTCGGCATTCTCTCATCCCACGGCGTTTAAGGAACGACGAAAGAAAAATACACACGCAAACAGGAACATTTTCGGCGGTAAAAACGCAGAGGGGCGGCATATCAAAGGCGGGCGTGTCCGACAATCATTCTCACATGGAAATATCATGTTAGCTTACTGGCCTCCGGGTGGGTCGCCCGTCGTGCTCCGCGATGGTTTCGCAGAGTCGGACGCTGTGTGGCCCCTCGACATTGGCCTTTGTCAATGCTTGCTTTTCTTGCTGGAGATCCTGCGACAAGTCTAGGATTCATGAAAGTCTCTGGCACGAGGCGGCCGGATGCATCGATGGTTATTGGTAGTGGCGGGGGGCATAGGCATAGAGGTTCTTTTGGGACCGAGGTTGACGGAGGGCTTTCTTTTATGGTTGATCCCCTTCGTTTCACCCAGTTTATTTCTCATCGAGAGTTGTATCTATGTAACAATGACCGTTGCATATCTGAGATGGGCGTCGTGCCTAATGAAAGGCTAGTTTGTTCACCTTCAAGTCCACAATGCTATCAGTGTTACAAGATCAGAAACGCGGGCCTCTCTCCGATACGGGAGGCGACGTCATCTTTACATTTTGTAGGAATACCTACGACCTTCGCCATGGAGCGCTGGATTTGACTGCCGTGCGTTTGATTGGGCGATCTGCCGGGGAATTCTCAGCTTGCAGAACGGCACTAGCGATGGCCCAGTACACTGTGCGAAGCCTAAACATGCGCCGGATTTCACGTATAACGCCGACTTCTGGTCTGATATATGCATCCAGTTGGATATCCAATATGATTAACTACCCATTGCATACTTAACTTGCATAACTCTATTCAGTTGAGAGGCTCTCAAGGTGGAAACCGGGCTTGGAAAACAGGTCGATAACGACAATAAGGTTTTCTGCCCTCTGCTGAAAAATAAAGGCTCTAAATAGTTCTTTACCAGGGTAAAATATCTTGAAATTCTACATCCTCCGCCATTCCCGGTCAACTTTTTCACCCTCAACGACGCCCTGCTCTGGTCGAGGTACGTATCCCGGTCTGCCCCGCACATCATCGGACCGGATGAACCACACCCGCTATCGCAAAAGCAGCTCCACTAAATTTTCTCCCCGATAAGAAAAAATTCCCATTGAGACCCTCCAAACCAGCGGCTCGCAAAAGTTGCAGTCCTCCCGCCCTAGCGCAGCTTCCTCACAACCACCACCACACCACACACAGCCGCAACCATGGACGCCGCCGCCAGCAGCAAGAAGCGCAAGCTCCGCGACGCCAATGGCTCGAAGCCGTCCAAGAAGCGTTCCTCTTCCGGAGCAGCACCCTCCCCCGCCGCAATGTCGAAGAAGCTGAAGCGCACCGCGCCCGCGCCCGCCTCCGACGACGATTCTGAGAACGAGGATGCCGAGGAGGTGCAGTCAGACGAGGAGGAGGAGGAAGACGCCGCCGAGACCGCCGAGAACTTCAAGGACGCAGAAGACGACGACGGCGCCGGCTCAGACCTCGACGACGACGTCAAGGCCCCCGCTGCCGCACCCAAAACTACCTCCGACATCCCCAACGCGGACGCCCTCACGCTGCCCCAGGTCGGCGCCGAAGCCCACGACTTCGCCGAGCTCAACCTCTCCGACAAGACGATGAAGGCCATCGGCGAGATGGGCTTCACCAAGATGACCGAGATCCAGCGCCGCGGCATCCCGCCCCTGCTCTCCGGCAAGGACGTCCTCGGCGCCGCGAAGACCGGCTCCGGCAAGACCCTCGCCTTCCTTATCCCCGCCGTCGAGATGCTCTCCGCCCTGCGCTTCAAGCCCCGCAACGGCACCGGCGTCATCGTCGTCTCGCCCACGCGCGAGCTCGCCCTGCAGATCTTTGGTGTTGCGAGGGAGCTGATGGCGCACCACTCGCAGACGTACGGTATTGTGATTGGCGGCGCGAACCGCCGCGCCGAGGCGGACAAGCTGCAGAAGGGCGTGAATCTACTTATTGCCACACCCGGCAGATTGCTCGACCACCTGCAAAACACGCCCTTCGTCTTCAAGAACCTCAAGTCGCTCATCATCGACGAGGCGGACCGCATCCTCGAGATCGGTTTCGAGGACGAGATGCGCCAGATCGTCAAGATCCTACCCAAGGACGACCGCCAGACGATGCTCTTCTCCGCGACGCAGACGACAAAGGTCGAGGACCTCGCGCGCATCTCGCTGCGCCCCGGGCCCTTGTACGTCAACGTCGACGAGAAGCAGGAGCACAGCACGGTGGCCAACCTGGAGCAGGGCTACGTGATCTGCGACGCGGACAAGCGGTTTTTGTTATTGTTCAGCTTTTTGAAGCGCAACCTCAAGAAGAAGGTGATTGTGTTCTTCAGCAGTTGCAACTCTGTCAAGTACCACGCCGAGCTGCTGAACTATATCGATCTGCCGGTGCTGGATTTGCATGGCAAGCAGAAGCAGCAGAAGCGGACGAATACGTTTTTCGAGTTTTGCAATGCGAAGCAGGGGACGCTGATTTGCACTGACGTTGCCGCGCGTGGATTGGATGTAAGTCCTTGCCCCCCCCCCCCTCCCTATCTCCTCGGTTCGAGAGACAACGTGCTAATCGAATGCTCGACAGATCCCCGCCGTCGACTGGATCGTGCAGGTCGACCCCCCCGATGACCCGCGCGACTACATCCACCGCGTCGGCCGAACGGCGCGCGGCGCCAACTCCAAGGGCCGCAGCCTCATGTTCCTGCAGCCCTCCGAGGTCGGCTTCCTCACGCACCTCAAGGAGGCGCGCGTGCCGGTCGTCGAGTTCGACTTCCCCGCCAACAAGATCGCCAACATCCAGTCCCTGCTCGAGAAGCTCATCACGCAGAACTACTACCTCAACAAGAGCGCCAAGGACGGCTACCGCAGCTACCTGCACGCGTACGCGAGCCACTCGCTGCGCACCGTGTTCGACGTCAACAAGCTGGATTTGGCCAAGGTGGCCAAGAGCTTCGGGTTCGCGGTGCCGCCGCGGGTGGACGTCACGGTGGGCGCGAGCGGGCGCGGGGAGAAGAAGGTGCAGGGACGGAGGGCGTATGGGAGCCAGCCGAAGCAGGGGAGTGGGGGGTATTATAAGAAGAGGTGAGATGAGAGGAGTTAGATTGGGGAGAAGGGGTGAAAGATGAAAAGAGGAAGGCAAGGCATCCAACTGTGAAAATAGCACGGCGTCGAGTTTTTAAAATGGTAATTTGGGACTTTTTTTCTTCATGAGACAGATCCTGCGGGTTTGACTTGAGAGGTACTCGCGGATGGAGGGCTGGAAGACGTTTGTAAGGGCAGTAGCTCAGCATGATCATTTCTTCTCCAAGCCGACGATCTTGCGTTCTCGTTGGTGACGGGACAGATCGATAGAATTCGCGACACCGTTGCTCCTCAAAGCAAGCAGCATGGCTGACTGAACCCTGTAAGCAATGCGCTCACGCACTCACTCACTCGCATGCTCGCAGCGGCGGTGGCGTCTCTTACCATCGATATATCACATGTATTTTGCATGAATACACGGGAGACACAGATATAGGCCCTACTTTGGCGCAGATAAGGTGAAGCCATTCCTGCGGTGCTCTTGGATTGGTTGTCAGTACGGATGAGAGCGCGCGTTGTCTGCTCTGCGGGACCACGAATTCGGCAACGCGAAGTCGATGAGAATATTGCCGTTGCTTCCGGTGGTGTTTGTTCTGTTGCTTCAACCTTTATACGGAAGCTCGGGGTGGGAACTCGATGACCGGTGCTAGAGGGCGGAGGACGAGTCTTTGTTGCCGAGTATAAAAGGGGGGGCACCAATGAGTCTTCTTTCAACAACGCCACGCAATGACGTTCGGAAGATAGACCGTTTCTGTATGCTGAAGAAATCTAGAAGTGAGCGTGAGAGGGCTTTGTGCTTCCTGAGACTTGGGAAGGACGATGTCAGCCCGTTTGCTTTCTCATCGTCCGCCAGTGGCTCCTGTGGTGTGTCGTTGAGGAATACCCCGTGAACACTGTCCTGGATACCAGCCTTTGTCTGCTGTGGTAGACTTGATGTGACGATCGTTAGTAGCCGTTCCCGAAAGAACAGGGCATACGGTGCGGTTCGCATCTGCCTCTATTCGCATCTACCTCTGGCAGACGAGAACGGGTTCGACCAATATTTTGCTCCATCTAGTTACGTGTGACTTTGGCTACTATCCATATCACTCTGGATACAGGCTTTTGCCGCGAGCCTGTGTACTCCAGCAACGGCTTGGCGATGACTGACCTGGACCACTCAGGCGTGGGGGAAATAGTATATAAGACGGTTCCTTTCTACCGTCTCAAGAAATTGAGCAATCAAAGCTGATCTCACTATTTGCTTGTTTGTCCGTAGAGTGACCCTGTCTCGCAATGCCCTATCACCATCTTTCGAGGCCAACTTAGCCGTGGTGATGAATGCTTGAATGCTGGTTGTAATACCTATCCTATGACGGACGCCAGGGGAAAGAGCTAAAACCTCAAGTTCTTAAGTGTTACGCTTAATGTTCGGAATGAAGCATAGCGCGATGATGCATGAGATGGAATTTCTCCGTGCAGTGCGTGAAGCTTAAGCCTCAGACGATGATCATTGTGCTGCGTTCGTGCTGACAACGGCCTGCTGTTGAACTCATTTATAGATGATCTGAGAGGCTTCTCGGCGCTATCTTGAAGGGCTTGGTGTCTAGCATAAATCTTTTTCCGGAGTATAAGAGCGTATCCGCACGGAAAAGTTCACCTGCTCCGCCGCAAATGGAAGGTTCAACTGAGGATTGTTAAAACTCCGCAACCTGCTCTTCATCTCAGCCTGCCGGAAAGAAACACCGTTCTACTAGAACCCATAAATGACTATGAGCCTCTCCGTAGTCGCATTGTGCGTCTCTCGAATACACGCCAAACGGCTGGAGCGAGGGACAAGGCGTAGGCAGCGACGATTTTGGAAATTGTAGTGGCACCTCTTCTTCAACTCTGGTTATGTCCACGCGGAAGAAATCAAGGCTCAAACAACCAAATGTTCCCGACTCCTATTGCTTAGATTTCAATTCATTTGCCATGCGACTGGGTCTTATATAATATTGGTAAAACCCTTTGACCCTCGTGATTGAGGAGGGCGTCCGGGTCGGCCCCACTCCGACTCCCGGAGCCGGATGGTGGTCGGTCTGCCGGATCATGCCCCGAAACATGTCAGTAAGCTGCTACAAAGTCGCTTTTTTGTCGAATTAACATAAAACTTCTCCATCTTTTCGTACAGTTAAACCCCCGCAATTAGCCACGATGAAAACCGACTCACTGCGTGGCGACAGTATCCTGCTGATGAGTACCGCCGGCGCTGATCGGATTCCTTTCACGAATCTTGCTATTCCAGCCAAAAACTCTCACTCCTTTGATTGTGGTGGACTCCGGATTGCGAGTGAGATCGACAGCCAGTGGTTCGGTGCGGAGGGTATGCCTCGCGTGTACGTCTAGTCCAGTGGACCGAAAGACGTGGCCTGGTCTCTACGTCTGGAACGACCATTTGACCTATATTTCTAATCTTCCTCTCATTCCTGACATTCTTGTTTCAACCGTATGGGCTTGTTGCAGTGCCATCCGTCCAAGATCGAGATAAGGGAAGACGGCTGTCGGTTCACTGATACTCACAACAAGTTCCTTGTCAGCTTGTGAAGATCGCTTCTAGACCGGAGTCGCGGTGCTATCTTTTTTGATTGTAATGAAGCTTTCGGCTTGAAGTGTCAAGTTTGATGAATCCCGACGAGCGTTTTTGACAGCTGTGGCAAGTACGCGTCTAAGCTGTGTGAAGGAAAGACCATCGATGATCAAGATGATGAACATGTCCAAAGAAGAGTTCTGTTTGTGTGACCAGGCTATCGCCTGACAGTAGATTTGAAGTTGTGGGGGAAACTATAGCCAAGTACGCTGTCACATGGATTAATTCTGACGTGCTACCTACTATCATGTCCTCAACGTCAAGATTAGGTAGTCAGTCGGTTCCTGCGTATCTTTCAGCGTGCTTGTTTCTCCCACCTCAGTTACCAAAGGAATATAAAGGCAAGGTCTAGATCTGAACGCTGTTACTGCAGCCAAATTCCATCGAACTCAGTCAACGCTAGTTCTGCAAACCTATCTTTGTGGCTTCTGTTACCATGTCGTCATCTACTGCCAGATGTCTCATGCGTGGAATCTTCAAAATATAGCTCAAAAGTCGACCATGCGGAAGTCTTTGGTGTCTTGGGTGTATACAGATATGGTCAAGTGGATTATACCAACGAAGACAGCGCTGCAGGAAGGGTTCAGGGCACACTCTGAGCCCAACATGCCGGAATCTCTGTGATCTCTTGATGCTGGTGTTAGCTAAGTTCATTTCGGAAAATGAGAATGCCAGATGGTCACATGATTCTTTCAACAACAACCCGCTGACCGATGTCGCAGAGCCCTTGATATACCAGTATTTAGTTTGCAAACAACTCCAGCTTTCAGGCTTCCTCTGTATAAAATAGGCTTTCTTATGCATTTACAATTTGTGAGCCAAACAATGGAACTGTCTGGTTGGGGTGTGAAGTCTGGTAGGCAGCAAAAAGCCAGTTCCACGTATACCCATTCACCATCATCGCACGCTGCGTCGTAGCCGTGTGTCCCACTCTGACATACTCTTGGCTTTCTCAATCCTATCCGTCTATTTCTGCCGCTTTGTGTTTATTTGGGAGGTAATCAACGAAGACTGAGTGTAAGAGACTGACGCAAGGTTGATCATTACCCAGGCAGGGATTGGACCGTGACTTGATGAGACGTAATTGCGGGTTCACAGGACTTAGTGATGGAGAAGCAGGAATGGAATATGATTACATTGGTTTGATTTCTCTTTGAAGTTCTTAGTTTCTACATTTATAACTTTCAGAACGGGCTCGTGGTAGATTTGACATTGCGCAGTTCGTGGTTGCTCCAAGATAGCTTGGATCTGAGGTCTTGATGACTGCCGTCTTCCTTCCCTGACGAGCTTGAAACTTCATTTCACTGTATAACCCCATTTCTTTTGAATGGATCTCGAGTGTAATATAGGTGAATGTAAAGTTTGCACTGTCCTTTTCGTACCTGTTCTCACCACGGGCATTACTGCCGGGGGATTCCCTTCCCTATTTAAAGCTTCTTGTTAATCTTCTTTTCGGTGGAAGCAGGACAATTGGTCTTTCGAGCGTGATTGGAGAAATCTGGCAAGAATCTCGCGGAGCCCACGAAGTCGGTATACACGTTGCTGGTGGCTCGAGAGGTGACCGCGGCATGACCGGAGCAGACCGCGTGCGGAGATTAGCCTTCAGTATCTCATGCGAGTGACACATCAAATGTCTCCAGACTCTACGTTTGGTGTACTAATCGACCTAATAGACGACAGATGGTGACGTGTGAGTCTGAGCATTATGTCTTCCCAGATGTACTCTTCTTCGTCACCCACGGCCATATATCGTTTTTGGCTCAGAATCTCTGCGGACTGGATTGCAAACCGTGCATTTGGTTTAGGAAAATCAGAAAATATGGCGAGGTTCTTGTTAAATAGGGCATCCGCGATAAGGAAGCTAAGTAGACCTCGAACCCTCATCTTCGGCAAGGGCTTCCTATACCCCTGGCAGTATATATTGATGCCCGATTTCCTTGTACTTCCAAAACCTCAACAATTGCGAGTGGAAAACTGTCGGTGATATCGTTTTCATGTTTGGACCTCGGCCACCTCTACTAAGTTGCCTGAACGGACCTTGTCCATGCGTTGTGTAAGGAGACAGCCATTCATATTGTCGTTCAGTGGCAGTTTTGTCCGTCTCGTATTCATGACGACATAAAGCACGCCTCAACAAGGTTGAAAGGAAACCTCTGAGATATCCTGGAGCGGCATTTCACGAGGTAAATCGGCAGGCGATAAGTATGGGTCATGTAAGCAGCAAGTCCAACAACGCCATTCATTTGCGTGTGGCTTGAGTGAAAGAAGCGGTGCAAATCGGGACTTAAATATCTTAGATCATTTGAGTGTGAGATGAGGACTAGGTACAAGTGCTTCACGAAGTCGAAGGTCCTAGTCACACCCTCCCCATCTCCTTCATACCCTTCGTCAACCACATCTCTCTATTTGCAGTTGCAGTAGACGCTAGAGATAATCAGCAAACCAAGACACCAACACCAGCTTAGGACACTTACTTGGACTGAGCAACACCGGGGCCGGAGCATCCGTCATACGCGCCATTTTGGCTCGAGCACTGTCGAAGCATCAGCAACACACCCAGCAAGACCTTCTAGGTGTCCAAACTCACAGCTGCAGGGCACTCCGCCTGGCACTGAGTCTGGGTGGTGTAAACCTGGCCAGTCCAAGCCAAGACGGCAAGGGGCGAGGTGATGAACAGCAGAAGCGCGGAAGATCTCATGGTGACAGATGGAATAGTTTTCGATATGATTTGGAGGAAGAATATGATTTGCGCGTGCAGGATGAAGACTATCTGTCCGAACAACGACGACGAACGACTCCTATTTATCAACGCCATCGGAATTCCCTTCCCCGAGGAGACCTCGTAAACTCCCCAAACTCCGCAAAGATGACCCGTATCAACAAAACAACGATTCATGCCGCCAGCCCCGTCCCACGTTCCGCCATTTCCATATTCACAATAGCCCGAGCGGTGTACGAATTCCATATAGTAGAAGGACTGAAAGTCCATCTCCTTGGGGAATAGGGCGGATCCCATCCAATATGACGGGAAGCTAAATTTGTGGGAAGAAGCCCACATGAAATACCGAACGCGACACCGAGCGATCCGATTGATGCGTTGCTGGGGGCGTCGATCAAAGCCGTGACTCGTCTTATTTTCTTGAAGATCTTTTCTTCGCAGGTCTTTCTTTGCAGTTGCAGTAAGCGCTACAGAGGTAATTAATTAGCACAACGCTCCATACTACGAAGGCACCAATGCATAGGAGATGAGAGGCTTACTGGGGGTTGTCGGGGTAGATGCTGAGGGTGCAGTTCAGGAAATCATAAGTAAAGCTATCACACTAAATTTCCCCCAAAGCCAACATTATCAGTCAAATTCCGTGAGAGAGATCTTGGGCTCGGCTGGATGTGTGTCGTTACTTACAGATGCAGGGCAGGCCTCCTGGCACCCATTGATGTTCTCGTATGCCCCCACGATAAAAGCCGATGCGGCGAGGGGGGAGGCGATGAACAACAGGACGGCAGCAGATCTCATTTTGGCGTATTTTTGAGGCCGTTTTGCGTGAGGCGATATGATGCAAAAGAATGTAGTAACGAATGGAAACGAGTGTTGGGATGGCGACGAGAGGATGAAGACAACGAAGCTGAGAACTACGCATCGCAAGAGACGACTTCTCCTCTTATCTACCAACTATCGAAGCCCATTCTTACAAAAAAGCGCAAACTGAGTTACTCCTTAATCTACCTATTGTTAGCAACAAATCATGCCCCGTCGTGATTGCCGTGCGAGCGGCGCCACTCTCTCGACCCGGCCGGCGAAAAGCTGGAGTAGGTCCCGATAAAGGGGTCCGGCTCCCACACGGCAGGCCGGCTCCCACACTAAACACGGAAGCTAAATATATGGGACGACGCCGGACCTGATACCTGGCAGGTCCGATCTGACGTGCGAAAGCGGGAAGGATGATCGGATGGCGACGATCTGTCGTGGTTCTGATTGTCCCTGCAAGACATCGCCGGAGCGGCTGGCAGGGTTGAGCTAGGATACGTGATGACGTCTCAGCGGTTCTATAATCTTCAAATTGCCTTTAGAAATTCTGCTCTCGTCGCGATACTTGACGTTCGTTTTGGCAACTTCTCTAGAGATCTTTGCAGGACTCCTGGCGACTCATCGAGGGAGGTAGAGTCGCGATAAGGCAATGGCTATGCCGAGGACTCACTGTATTCGAGGCGCTGGTGCGGGCTCCGCTTGACTCGTGCCTCTGCGGACAGCCCGCGGGTTGTGGGGACGGGAGCATGCTGTGGGAGAATGAGACCCGGGGACCGCTAGATCTTCGGGGCTGGTTTCGGACCCCGGACGTGATCGTGGAATGGCATCTTAGACTGTCAATGTCGCCGCTGGCACGTATCCCAAGCTTCACTTCTTTGGCCGTTGCAGACGGTATCTAATTTCTTTGGCGGAACACGTACCCGCGGGGCTCTTTCAGATGTCGCGATTTTGGTGTTAGATTGGGCGCAGGGAAGGGGGTCCCGGACGCTAAGACGAGAGTTTGAGCTCTCCAAAGCATGAGGATATAAGCTTAATTTCGGGCAATCACGACATCTGCAGCCAAGACCGGAAAGCCATTTGCGCCTAGACGGCCATCTCATCTTGCTCCAGACGACGACGAGACATCAATTTCCCTCAGATTCGGGGAAAAGGCCGTTGCTGAGGAGGCCTAGCGGAATAAGGGAGACGACTCCCCGGGCTTCTGATGTGGTGGACCAGGTTCGGACTGATGGCATGGAGGAGAGAGTAAGGCATGTCATCATGCCCAAAAAATATTGATTTAGACATGGGCATAAAAAGAGAAGCTAAGCCCGTGATTTATCTTGCATGCTGAGCTAACTTTCGTCGAAATATATATCTGCCCCTGATGCTCAGTTGGGTCTTAGTTGGAGAGTCGGTCAGCAGAGGACCTAAGATCTTATAGTCAGTGTGGTTGAAGACTCATATAGCATCATAATGGCTCTAATCAAGCAGTTTCGTCAAAATGGAGTTGTGATGTTTTCCTTGTGTCTCTAGGTACCAGACCTGACCTGAGGTGATTGAGAATTGCAACTCCCAGCCAGTCTTTCCTCTGAGGCCATTGCTGTCTTGTTACCTTCGTATATGCTCTGGAAAGCTCTCATAGGTGACAAAGTGGTGAATGTCGTATGGGAACGAATACGCAGGATGTATTCACAATAGCATGGTCTGCCAGTCCAGGCTCACCTCGAGCTCACCTTGAGATTCTGCCCACTTGCCACTCCTTCCGATTTGGCAACAGCGCAACGGGAACAAACCCATCACTGCCACTTGAACAAATCTTTTTGCTTGCCTTTGCCCTTGGATCACATACTACTCAGGTGCCCAAGGAAACAACGATAGCAGCTTGAGGCCTCACGATACTCACTCACCTCGACCTCCGCTTCCTCTCCCCACCTCACCCGACCTCCTCAGACCCTTCCAACCGCTAAGATGTGCATCATCATCTCGACCCTCTACGTGGAGTGCATGCACAAGCACTACCAGAACACCTTCAAGTGCGCCTCGGCCCGGGGAAGCTCCCTCTTCCAGTCGTCGCGCAACTTCACCCTCGAGCGTACGATCCACCTGCCTGACCAGCAGCCGAAGCAGATCCCCCACCCCCTCTGCGATGGCAACATCAAGAAGGCAACCCGCCCCGTCACCGGCCGCTGCAAGACTTGCATTCGCGAGGAGAAGGAGCTGAAGCAGTTGCTTGGTAAGAGGCTATCGAGATGTCGCTGACGCAGAGGGAGAAGCTGGAGCTAACGATGGGTGCAGAGGACGCCCGCCGTGCCCGGGATGCCGCTCCGGACGATGCGGTCACCGAGAAAAATGCTCGGAACAGCGTGCTTGGACTGCAGCAGCTCGTTGCGGCTACGAAGCGTATGGATCTGGACGATTGAGTTGGTCGCCTCAGCAGTGTCGACATCGGAAATCCATGTCTACGATAGACACCGCAACGTTCGCTTACATGTTAGCGGGATAATTACGGAAGCTTGTGACGTTTCGAGGGGCATCGAGAGATATCGACAACTCAATGGCCTTGGAGTGGATGCGCAAAGGGAGAATTGGATTTCACGATGGAGTTGGGAGTTGGCAGAAGCAAGTGTGACACGGAGGAAAAACGCGGGGCATTATGGGCCGGCCTCTCGGGGCAGGGGCGGGTTGGATGACAGCCCCACATGGACTTTCCATTTGCAGAGCCAGCTTTTCGGGGCAGGCAGGACCGGCGGCGACGGTGGGCAGCTTCCGTTGGAGACTTTGAAGGCATGGTAGGCATTGGACCGACCCGAGCAGAAGGAAGGAAGGAGGGGGATCGGCGGTCCATGCTTTTCTTCGGGTGGCTCTTTCCCTTTTCCAGCCTTTATTGGCTGCTCCCCAGCCACTGGCATTTCTGTCATTCGGACACTAGCAACCTGCCACCTTCTAGAGGGACACTAATGAACTTACAATGCGCATCTTTGTGCTTCTGGAACGTGACTGGAGTCTTGGGGTTGAGCTTGATCTAGGTGATTGAATGGTTCGTCGAATGGAGATGGACTAGTTCCCAGCGCCATGTTTTGGGCCACCGATGCATGTTGCACAGTTCTTCAGAGGGGACCTGAGGGGGAGACATTGGGAGGGTCCTGATGCTGATGCAGCATTGGACCGCACCTGACACCTGGGACCATTGGGGGCGCTAGCGGCGAGCCATGCGTGTTTGCACGAATCCAATGAATGATACGTGCCCCCGGTCATGTCATGCTGATTGATGCTGAGGTGGTGGTGTTCTCTGTAAGGTACATACCTTGCCTGTCTGCCATGCCTGGCTAGCGAACCGCATGAATGGAAACGCAAAGCTTGCATGCAACCAGAACCAGAGCTGACATGTTCGTCCCGTCGAGTTCATGCCAGCCAGCCAGCAGCGATATGCGATCTGAAGGGTCCAATGACACATGCGTGGGTTCCTGGGGCATTGAGGGTGCAGGCAGACAAACTCAATTGCTCGAGTAGATTGATTGATTGTCCAGGGGCGTGGAGGGAGGAGCAGAGATGCAAATGACGAAGTCCACGTCTCGCTTCCCGTGGAAAAGATAAAATCGGTACCTTCCCTCCCCTGCCCACCTCACCTAGCTCCTGCATCTGGCCAAACCCACCCCGCCCACTCCTCCTCCACGCGCACTCACACTCAGAGGTAGCAAGCACACTGCACGCTGCACCTCCCTGGTACCTACCCCGACCTCAGGTCGCAGCGATGGATGGATCCTTCCCAACACCACCAACAGCACTCGACATGCGCCTGCACCAACACGATTATGGGCACCACCACCAGCAGTGACACCGACACCGACACCACACGGGAGGTGCGTCTTGCCTAGCCTCGCCCACCCCATCCTCCCGCCCCGTCTGATGTGCCCATCCCATCCACCCGCCGCCTGCCCATACATCATACCCTACGTACCCTTAACCGCCAAACCTCCATCTTTGCACCATCACCATCGTCATTCCAGTACCATTGCTTCTTCTGCCTGTTTTGCTTTCCATAACCGTGTTATCGCCATCACAGTGCATCCTCACCTTCTTGCATGCGTAATCAGTAATCCGGCCCCGCCCTACCGCTCGAAATGGCCAAGAAGGCGCGCCAGAGGATCAGCTACGGTATGTCTCTCTGCCACTCCCGCTGCGCCTGTGCTGTTTCGCTGTCGCCGCTCGTATGCTGCCGCCGCGCTTGTCGTCGCATCAGCCCTGAGCCCGACAACGTAACCCCGCACGCCCACGCGGTTGAGCGCATCAGACCTCTGCAATCGCGAGATTGTCGTCTCTGCCGTGCTCCCACCGTACATCTTGGCAGTCGTGCTAATCGTAGACGTCCCGGTAGTCCTCGAGCTCCCAGCTGGCTCCCAGGGCGGCGGCCACAGACTCGGCGTCAACGGCCTCGCTGTCGACAAGGACAATGGCATTCTGTAAGCACCCGATACACGATTCCAAAGCCTCGAAGCCCACCTTGCGTCGACAGGCACTGACGGGCTCGCTCGGATATGTAGATACTCCGGCGCCCGCGACGGCGTCGTCTGCGCCTGGGACCTCGACCTCGACCTGAAGGGCGGCGCACCCCCGCCCGAGAAGAAGCCCAAGACCACCTTTCGCTCCCAGACCCAGGCGCATATGTCCTGGATCAACGACATTGTCCTCGCAAACAACAATTCCGCCGTCGTCACTGCCTCCAACGACCTCACCGTCAAGGTATGGCGTCCACATTCCGAAACGAACGATAACGCGGCCAAGATCGGCGAGCATGCCGACTACGTCAAGTGTGTGGCTACACCCCCAGGCGGTTCGGTCAACTGGGTTGCCTCAGGCGGTTTCGACCGCAAGATATACCTATGGGATCTCAACGGCGGTGGAAAGACTCTCGAGATTGATACCAAGGGTGATGAAGTCGCTGAGAAGGGTTCTATTTACGCTCTGAGTGTCGGCCACAACATCATGGCCAACGGCGGACCCGAGTCGGTGGTGCGCCTTTGGGACCCCCGATCTGGCCACAGGGTTACCAAATTTGTCGGTCACACGGGCACCATTCGCGGCATCTTACTCAACGAGGCCGGCGACAAGGTCCTGACTGCCAGTTCTGACCACACCATCAAGCTGTGGAGTGTCACGGCCGGTCGTTGCATGTACACGTTCACAATGCATGAGGACAGCGTCTGGTCACTCTTTTCAGACGACCCTGAGCTGGGCACCTTCTACAGCAGTGATCGCGCAGGTTTCGTAGTCAAGACGGACGTGCGGGGAAGTTTCGAGGACATTGACGAGGGCCTTTCGGTTGCTGTCGCGCACGAGTCTCACTCTATCAGCAAAGTCGTCGCTGCGGGAGACTACATCTGGACGGCGACAAATACCTCATCCATCAACAGGTGGTCTAATGTTGATACTGGCCCAGATCTGCAACTCCCTGAGGCATTCAGACGGCAGAGGGCCGCTTCGACGGCTTCGAGACCCAGGCAACCTTCGAGCCCGCCTCCAGCGGATGCCTCGAAGAAGGAAATCTCGCCAAGGTCGATTTTGAGAATCTCCAACACGGCAGCTTTCCCTATTCCGACCAATCCTCCCCCCGAGACCGTTCCTGTGGCAGGCGCAAATGCTCCGCAGGGAACGGAGCCCATACCCATAAACCAGAACCCCGAAGAGACCATCGAGGGCCAATTCGGACTAGTCAAGCATAAGCTTCTGAATGATAGGAGAAGAGTCTTGACGCTGGATACGGCAGGCGATGTTCTTCTCTGGGACCTGATAAAGGTGCGTGGGCTGGAAGGAAGTTAACTGCAACGACTAACTTGTGTAGTGCGAGCCTATTCAAAGCTTTGGCAAAAGGCATCTCGAAGACGTCGAACCTGAGATTAACACTACGGAGGCAGTTGCACCGTGGTGTTCCATTGACATCAGCTCCGGTAGTCTTACGGTTGTCTTGGAACCATATAATTGCTTTGATGCTGAGATGTACGCGGATGAGCTGACTTTGGAGGAGCCTATCGAATTCCGAGAAGACCAGAGAAGTAAGATTCACCCACATTGATAACTGATGGATGCTAACCAGTTGCAGTTAACCTTGGTAAATGGGTCCTCAGATATCTCTTTGCTGGCTTGATCGACGAAGAGATCAAGCGTGACGAGGCGTATCGTCAAACTCTCAACGAGGTGGTAGAACGTAAGCTGGCAGCAAGCCGTGCCAACCCGCCATCGTCAATAGCCATTCCCACTGGCTCTCCAACGTGGGATGAGAACACGGGCACTCCCCGAGCAAATGGCTTGCAGTACCCGATGACTCCCGGCATGGCTATTGGCCTTGCTACACCTGGCGCAGGGGGCAAGCTTCAGGATGTTCCCGAAGGAGTTGCAACCCCTGCTAGCCCCCTCGACAAGAAGTCATCCCAGTTCAGCCGTCCGTCTACGGAGAAAGAAGACTACTTCACTAGTGCTATTGGCCCCATAGAAGGTGCTTCAAAGCCTACCGCGGCGCCAGCCACGCCTGCAACAGAACAACCGCCTGCTGCTGATGCCAAGTCCGACGCAGATTCGAAAGAGAAGGGGAAAGACAAGGATAAGAAGGACGAGAAGGACAAAGAGAAGGATGCTAATGGAAAGGGCCCCAGCACACCGTTTGGCAAGAAATTCCGCATGGGGATGGGGATGTCCTTCGGAAGCAAGAAGATTGGACGTTCGGCTTCTACAACAGCGCCAGAGAAGCCTGCTGTCGTTGACGAGAAGGCAGAGGAGTCTGAAGCATCGTCGACACACGAGAAGGAGGTTGACGACAGTTTCTTGGGGGCTATCCAGAAGATCCGCAACGACTACGACAAGTCCTTGACCGAGAACCCGGACAAGCTTATTGAGACCAAGATTACGCCAAGCCTGCCCAATGACACGCCTGTGTTGAAGCTGCCTCCCGGAACGAAAGTCGTCCTTCAGGAGGAGACGACCGGTGGCAGCGCCAACATCTACCAAGGAACCGTAGAAACGATTGGTCAAGGAACTGACCTCTTTGAGGAGCGGGGCCCGATGTGGCTCGGCGAGGTTTTGCTTCAGAATCAGATTCCACCGAAGGAGCCTGTGAAGGTTTCCTTCGTCTTGCAGCCGTGGCAAAACAGCCTGCCGGATATTGCGTCCACGGACGGCAACAATCGCCTTAACGCCAACAGGATGCTCCGCGTGAAGAAGATCCTGGCATATGTCGCTGAACGCATCGAGACGCCTGTCGAGAACCCCGAGCCAGACGCTCTCATGCCGCACGAGTACTTGGAGCTTTACTGCAATGACCAGGTAAGTTGGTTTGCCTTTGTTAAGGCTGGATGTGACTAACAATCGCAGTTGTTACCTATTACCATGACCCTCGCAACCCTCCGCGCCCATATCTGGAAAGGGAGTAGCGATGTCCAGCTTTACTACAAGGCGAACGGGCGCAAGGAGATCCCGAACCCGCCACCTGAGCCTGCTGCAGCCCCTGAACCCGAGCCGGCCCCCTCGCAGGGCACTGAGACGCCTCCGAATGCGACAGCTTAGGCTCGAGGCCATCCGCAGAGAGGGAATTGTGGCTCAAGCTTCATTCGGGCATAAGCAGCCCGGCGTTTCTATGACTTCTATCAGCACGGGTATTAGGCGTTTTTAGTAATGTACATAGCGGAAAAGTTGGCAAGCACGGCCTCTTTGGCAAAGTGCTCGTATCATACAAGGCGGGAGGCACGTTGAGTGGCCTCCAATGCATATTCATTCCTTCGTCCGCAACCACCAGGTCTCCTCCGCCTCACAGCACCGCTCCAGTAAGCGTATTCGCCGCGAACTGGTAGCTTCCCAAGAAGATGGCACCTCCGATGCTGATCCACATGACTCTCGGTCCTATTCCCGCAAAGAAGGGGCGGATGCCGTGCTGTCGATAAATACCCCTCAAAACGTCTCCGACCTTTTCCTTCTCCTTGCTCAGCATGACCCTCGTCTTGAGTACATCCAGCGGCGTCGTAATTCCCGCCGCGGCCGCACCGGCGACACTGCCGTACAGCGCGCTCTCGACCGCAGAGACCTCGTATTCGGTCTGCTTCCCGTCGAGCTTCCAGTTCTTGTTCTGCTTCCTCTCGCGGCCCCAGCGTTTCAGCCGCTCCCACAGCGGGAACTGGATGATAGTGAAGGGCACCTCTCTCAGGACGGTGATGCCCCAGCCGCGGTACAGCTCGCGCCACACGCCGCCAAGCCCCGCGCTCGTCGAGTACAAACTCAGGATCCCCCGTAGCGCAGCGGCGCTGCTACCGCCGTGCTGGCCCGCCTGCGCGCGCTGCTTGACCACCTCGGTGGGCACGCGGATGGCGCAGGCGGCGACCTCGCCGAGGGACGCGGCGAGCATGTGCGAGACGGGGTCGGTCCACTTCTTGTCGCCCGCGGAGGCGAGCTTGCGCTGGATGACGCCCTTGGAGCCCTCGTAGGTGCAGAAGAAGAAGGCGGCACCCGGGGCGGAGCCGACGAGGGCGGAGCCGATGCCGCGGTAGATGCCGGTGAAGCCGCCCGAGGGGAAGAAGCCGGCGGAGGACTGCAGGCGGGTCTTGAGGGTGTCGAGGGGGAAGAGGGAGAGGTCGACGGTCGTGCCGGCGAGGGCGCCTGCGAGGAGGGCTGTTGTGAAGGGGGGGTTTGCGGACGACATGTTGAGGTTCTTTGGGGGGAGGGGTTTTTTCTGTTTGTCGCGTGCTCGGGCGCGGGGGAGCTGGTTTTCGGCAGGATCGTCGAGAAGGACGGGAGATTCGTGGGGTGGTGGTTGAGGAAAAGGCCCGAGGCCTGGTTGGAGGTCAAGGTCGCGTCGTGTTCATCGCTCGTGGGAGGAGGGGGGGAAGTAAGTACAAGCTGGCGGCGGGCGGGTTCGTTGTCTGCTGCGCTATCGCCGTGATATCGGAGCTCGATCGGTCCCCTCCTCGGGCCTCGTCCCCTGTACGTAAGGGAAAAAAATATCGGCAGGGGTCCTTCTGAGCAAGGTCCAGCTCGGGTGCTGCCCCGAGCGCCCGGGAAAGCTTTCGTCCCACGCCAGCTTCGCAGCGTTGATTCGCCAATTGCAACTGTCAAGCTTCACCATCCCACTTTGCCATTTTTCAACTTCACGATCCCGTCGCGATCAGAAACTCCCCGCCGACGACCACGCACTTCCGAACCACCACCTACCTCACTACACACGCCAGCACCCATACAAACACCACCAACGATGTCATTGCCAAAATGTCGTCCCTCATCACCCCATCCCAGCTCCTCCACCCGGCGGTCCCGAAACACATAACCTTCCTCGAGTTCTTCAACGTCGTCCGCGCCACCGCGCCCCCGCGCTTCCCGCACGCCCGCGTCGTCCAGCCCCGCCGCATCGCCCTCGCCGTCTCCGGCGGCCTCGACTCCATGGCCCTCGCCGCGCTCTTCAACCAGCTGCGCGAGGTCAACCCCCTCATGCGCATCGCGGACAACCCCCTCTCCAAAATCACCGCCGTCATCGTCGACCACGGCCTGCGCCCCGAGTCCGCCGACGAGGCCCAGGCCGTGGCCAAGGAGCTCCGCGCCCTGCGTCACATCCAGCCCGTCGTCGAGACCGTCGTCTGGAAACAGCTCGGCGTCGAGGGCGACCCCGCGCAGGCCCCGAACCTCGAGAGCCTCGCGCGCCGCGCCCGCTACCGCGCCATCGGGAAGGTCTGCCGCGACCGCCACATCGAGAGCGTGTTTCTGGCGCACCACGAGGACGACAACTACGAGACCGTCCTCATGCGCCTGCTCGCCGGCCACGGCTCTCGCGGGCTGCGCGGGATTGCACCGCAGGCGCCCATACCAGAGTGCGGCGACATCCACGGTGTCCACGAGTCCGGGCATGTAGACGACCAGGCGCTGCGCATGCCGATGGTCTCCTTCCGCCCGTCGAAGCGCGACTGGCACCACGTCCGCGCCGAGCTGCACTCCGAGCTCGACCTCGCCCTCTCCGCCGCCGAGCTGCGCGCTGGGCTGCAGCTCGGCTGGCACGAGACGCCGTACGCGGAGCAGGACCCTGTCGCGGCCACGGCCTCCGCGAAAGCCAGGGCCAGGGCGGCAAGCAGCATCCGCAACCTCGCGCGCATACCCATCGAGGACGCGGGCGTGATGATCTACCGCCCGCTGCTGGGGTTCAGCAAGGACCGGCTGCGCGCGACGTGCGAGCGGCACAACATCCGCTGGTTCGAGGACCGCACGAACGCCGACCCGACGCTGACGCTGCGCAACGCGGTGCGGCACATGGTCAAGGGGCATGCGCTCCCGCGGGCGCTGCGGAAGGAGAACGTGCTGCGGCTGTCGGCAAGATGCGACGCGCGGATCCGCGCGCAGGAGGCCGAGGCGGAGCGGTGGGTGCTGCGCGCCGTGGAGGGCGACTTTGAGCCGAACGTGGGCACCCTCGTCGTCAGCCTGCCGTCCATGGCCGTGCCGCCCCCGCGACGGAGACATGCTGCCAAGGCGAGGCGCGAGGCGCGGATATCCCACCGCCGGACCATCGCCGCGCTCATCGTCCGCCGCCTGCTCTCCTTCGTCTCCCCAGACAAACAATACGCCCAGCTCTCCTCCCTCCAAACCGTCGTCGCGCGCCTCTTCCCCGCCCTCTACCCCTCCCCATCTCCCTCCCCGCGGAAGGCATTCAACCACGCCGCAGTCCTCTTCCTCCCCGTCCCGGGCTCCTCCCCTTCAAAATGGTACCTCGTCCGCGAGCCCTACCCCTCCCTGCAACCGCTCCCGTCCGTGACCCAAGTCACAACCAGCGCCGGCGTCAACCGCAACTTCCCTCAATTCCCGCCCGGCCCTCGCCCGGGCTGCACCTGGATCGACGCCAACGGGCACGCCACAACGCTGCCCGCCAACGGCCTCACGCAGCTCGAGTTCCTGCACCAGCTGCACCGCGAGCCGCTGCCCGTCCCCGCGCACGCCGGGCCGGGCTGGCACAAATGGCGCCGCTTCCAGCTCTGGGACGGCCGCTTCTGGGTCCGCGTGCGCGGCCGCGTGCGCTCCGTGTTCAGGGTGCTGCCCTTCTCCGCGCAGCACGCCAAGGCCTTCCGCGAGAGTTTGGGGAGTGATGAAGAGAGGGTCAGGTTGGAGGGCACGCTGAAGCGATTTGCGCCGGGGAAGGTGCGGTATACCCTGCCCGCGCTGTATGCGGTCAACAGGGACGAGGATACAGGGCAGGAGGTGTTGAGGATGCTGGCGCTGCCGACGCTGGGCGTGCACTTGCCGGGGATGGAGCGCTGGGTCAAGGTCGAGGCGAGGTATCGAAGGGTGGAGTGGGGGTTGTTGGATAAAGGGGACGAGGAGCGGTTTCGGGGGCTTGTGGAGGTTGAGAAGCCGCGTAGACGAAGGACGACGAGGAGGAGGAAGAGGGTGGCGGCGTCAGGGCCGATGGATATGGAGTTTGGGAGAGAGGCTGTTGCAAAAAATGATACCCCCTTTGCGCGAGTGCGTGACTGGTTCAGCGGGATGTAGCTGGACACATGGCTTATGAATATAGGTATATATGAAATGATTTATTTAGACTAAAAGATATTGAGGGTGATGATTGTGCCCGGTATTTCGCAAACCCCCCAACCAAAAAAGACTCCAAATCCTGAATCGTTAACGACTGGTATTATTCATATGATATGCCGCATTCTCATGTCTGCTTCTTCATCCAGCATATTTCCCGCATATCTGGATACCCCTCCCCTCCTTGCGTTCATTTTCTCGTATGCAATATTACGGAACAAGCCTCAACTCCTCGAGGCAGTTCACGCCGGACCGATGATGAGCTCCTCGCTGCCGCTTACACTTTTCAGCGTTGCGGAACACGTCCACGCTTGGCCCTTGTGCGCCTTGACGGACTTGGGAATCTTCGTGTGGCTGTCAAACTTGACCCCTTGCCCGCGGATATTGATGTCGCCGCTAACGCTCGTGGCGTCGATAGCGCCCTCCCACGAGCCTGGATAGACGATCTTGAGGTTGCCGCTGATCGTATCGTGTGTAGATTTGAGGTGGCGCATGGGCGGGGGCGCTGCCACTGCCTGCCTGGCGGATGAAGAGGAGACCTCAGTGACAGAAGGATTGCTTCTCTTGGGGATGAGATCGCTCCAGCGGCGGTCGGAGCCCGGGAAGTTGCGGTACGGGTCGCGCGCGCCGATAGGGATGAAGGGGATGTTGGGGATATGCGGGATGCGGGGCATCTTGGCGGGGATGTCGGGGACGGGGAGCGGGTTGGTGGGGATGTCGACGGGGAGGTTGGGGTCAGCCCTCTCTTTCTCCCTCTCGCCTTGTGAGAGAGTCTTTGCGATGTCGACCCAGAGGGGCTCCAGGACGGTGACGGCGATGGCGCCCGACTTGGTCTGGGTCACAAGCTCGGGCTCCGCCGCCGTAGTGGAGGGGAGCAGGCTGAGGTCGTAGACGGGGAGGAGGGTGACACCGATGTCTCCCGAGACGGAGTTGATGAATGCGGCAGTGCTGAAGGCGGCCCAGGAGCGAATAATGCCGGATTTCGTCTCGATGGTGGTGATGTAGTTGCGCGGCGGGATGACAGTGTCGGGCTTGGCGCTCTTGGCAGCTTCTTCGAGGGGCTGCTTGACGAAGACGTCGCCCGAGACGGACGAGACCTCGAGCACGGCAGGCAGCGGCCGCGACTCGAGGACAGGCTTGGGTTGCACGGCGGCGGCGATGTCGCCCGATTCGGAGCGGATCTTGAGCGAGTCGAAGAGGGGCCAGCCGCCGGCGATGTCGCCCGAGATGGTGCGCACGACGATGTTACGGGCGTCGAGGCGGTAGGCAGGTGTATCAGCGGCGGTGCCTCCGGGGACTCGGACGTCGCCGGCGAGCGTACGAATCTCGAGGGTGTCCTTCACGGAGACGGCGAGGTCGTCGACGAAGCGCACGCCGAGGTGGAGCGCGGCGAGCTTGAGCTGGTTGAGCTCGGCGTCGGCGGGGACCCAGACGGTGGCGCGGATGGCCATGCACGGGCGCGAGGTCTGGCTCCATTCGATGGCGTTGGGGGCCTTGACGCGGAGCTGCTGGATCTTGGCGTCCCACTCGACCTCGACGTTAAGGCGCTCGTCGTTACCGACGACCTCGAGCTCGACCGACGGTCCCGGGCTGTCGGAGAGCTGGCGGCGGACGACAATGTCACCAGTGATGTCGGTCTGGTAGCCGCCGTGGGAGGGCTGCTTGCCTTCTTGGACGGTCTGTAGGACGCTCAGCCATTTGGACGAGTCGAAGCCGACGTCAAAGACTCTGGTCTCGAAACGGTGCTCGTTCTGGGCGCAGGCGGACTGAGGCCGCCAGGGGAGAGGTCTGGCTGGGCCGGAGCCGGGCTGCGACGGCGTGGTGGGATTGGAAGGCTCGGCAGGAGCTTCGGGCCCATCTTTGATTGGGAGGCCGGTGACAGGGTCGAAGTTCTTGGCGGGCTCCTTTGAGGGAGACTAGGTGTGTGTTAGATTGAGTGACAGAGTTTTTGATGAAAATAGAAAACAAAAGTCTTGGAAAAGAATGTCACCTACCGAGTGGCTTACGGTCCCGCTCAACATACTTAAGAAGCCGACAAAGATGGAAAACATCAACAGGGCGAAGAGCACCATCTTCAGCGTCCTTCTCGACGCCCACGGGAACCTCTTAAGTACCCTGTCCTTCCACGGCAGCGGCCTCTCGTCGTCTTGGTAGGGCTCATCGCCTCCCATGCTTTCGGGGTCGCGGCCCAGCAGGTGCCGCGCTTCCTCTGGGGCCCCCATGGCTACTACGGGGGAGAAGGTCTGGTAATTCCTGAACTCTCTTGGGGATGACGACGATAGCGGCGACGTGGGCGAGGGCGTGTAAGCCGGCGGTGCCTCTCGCGGGATGTTGAAGAGGGATGGCGTATGGGAGAAGAGGCTCCTTCTTGGGTGTGTCCTGGGAGTGCGCAGCGGGGTGTCGGTGGACGGCGAGTACGGCGTATAAGACGACGAGCTCTGGGCGTGGGAGGTGTACGTCGTCGTGTGGGACGGCGTGGCTACGCTGTCGCCGATGGAAGAGAACCCGTCGTCGTAGTGGTAGTCGTCGTTGTCGATCGACGAGGTACCGCGATCGTACGTATGCGGTGAGGTGTTTAATCTCGTCTCTTCCCTGGCCTCGCTGTCCTTCTTTGAGGACTTTTGCTGCTGCAGCTGCAGAGAGGGATCTTGGACGAGGACGTTAGGTACATGCGGGACGCCGGCGGAGGTGGGCAGCGTCGCGTCGGTGACGTTGTCGGTGGTGTGGTCACGACGATGATATTGGTGTTGCTGCAGCTCCTGTTCCTGTTGCGGAGGGTAGAGGTTGTCCGCTGACGACGATGAGCTCTGGAAGTAGCCGTCTGTGGGCGACAGGTGCACGTCGAGGTCGTCGTCCGGGACCTCGAAATCGGAGTCGTCGGCGGAGTACAGGTTGTCGGAATACGGGGCCGGCATGGCGACGGCAGTAGCCCAAGAGCAGGGCCTGTTTCTATTTGTGTACCGTTTCGATCCTGCCTCTCTCCCTCTGCCTGACTGCCTGTGCCTGTGTGTCTGTGTGTCTGTGTGTGTACCTTTCCTTCAGATGGTTTCTGCTTTACTACTACGCTCCCTGTTTCTTCAATGCCGGGGTCACAGCTTATTGCAGCTACTGTTTGAGCTTTTTTGCTGGGCTTTTGAGACGGCAGCCCCTTACACCCACTTCAGAAATTCGTCCCAAAACAAACTGCGACGGTAACCTCAGGGTCTGAACGGTCAGTCCCGTCTCTCACACCTCCTTTGACAAGAGGTTTGACAGGTGCTGAATCGCAACGGGCTTGGCTGATACGCGCAGTGTCGAGGGACGGGTAAAACGGACTGCCAAGACCAAAACGGCACGGCTTCGACTTCCTCGGATAATTTCTTGTTGAAGACGGCTTAGCTTACAATGCGAATTGTAATTGTGTAAGAAGGGAAAACAATGCGCGCAAGCTGTCGTCGTAAGGCGGGGTTCGTTGCTGGTGGTGATGGGAAAGCAGAGGAAGACGACGATAGTTGCGTGTTCCAGCGTTGGCAGGTACGTAGGAGGGGAAGTTCGGGAGGGAAGAATGTAAGAAAGGGAAAAGAGTCGGCTTAGAGATACAGCGGCGGCACGGGCAGGACCGTTGAATGAGGCGGCAAGTCCAGTCCCGTTCCTTCTGCGGCTAACCGGCGTCGACATCGGTCAACCCAAACCCAACCACCCGCCGTGCGATTGCGAATTTACGAGCAGAGATAGCCATGCAGAAACACCCCCGGTCGGTCATCCAGCCGCGACCGCCGAAGACGCAAGACACACTACGCATACCTTACCTTGGGACTCGCAGAAAAATTACGATAGCAGCAGTGTTTGGTTTTCCCACCGGCGCCTGTACCCGATACGGCGACAGCATGCTCGACATGACTGCTGCAAAGGAGGGGGCGACTCGTCAGCCTGCAGATCAGGGAGATATGAGACCGCGTACCGACGCAGCGGTGGACGGCGGAGGCGGGGACTCTGCGTCTTAGCAGACGGGCCCCGCGATGCTTGACTTACGCAGTAGCACCACCGCCAGAAAATGCTTGACTCCTGCCGCCTGCGAATACGCTGGTTTGGTAGGCTTGCGTGATACACGCCTGTGCGCCCAAAACGAAACAGGAAGCTGGTTAACGGTAGCATCAAACTCAATTGGACAGAGGTGGAGGGGTGGAGCAGGGCCGCGCCCGACAGCAACTGTGAAGAGGCACAGAGGGTACTTCTGTCAGATTGTTGGGAGAGCGGTCGACTGGGATTGGATGCCTACGGCAGGAAGAAGCTACTGTCTTTTGGTACTCGTCTGTTTTCTGTCTCATTCTCTCACAGTTGACATTTCTTCGCAATCATGCACTTCGCATGTGGAGGTGGACCATCTTCACCCCGATATTACGCTGACAAAAGTTCCCATGCTGGCCGCTTCGGTTATCGCTCCGAGCCGGGGTCGGCCGGCCGGCCATACATACCTTAATGTGTGTTACCCTCTCTGCTCAGTGCTGACGGTGTTACGAATCACAGTCGTGTGCCCGCATCTGCACCTCGATGGGGTATGTCGTCAATCAAGCTTCCTCATGGTTGGAGCGCTCGACGCGCGGGATGACGACGATCGCACGTAAGCTCTTGATGAAGCTTATCCATTGTCGGGGTTAAAATTGAAGATTTCTGGTCCTCGTAGGGCAGACGATGACGCCGAGGTCCATGTCCACGTCACCGGCCTGCCATCTGAAGACTTGGAGGAGGGGAAATGAGCGGATCGCGAGAAGAAGGTTAGATCTAGGCACCGACCGGTCGGCACACAAAATGCAGGACCCGTTCGTCGTCACGATAGCCTCAACAAGCATCGTCTCCACGTGGTCATCATCCACTTTGCACTATTAGCGCTCAACCGGATTGGGCACAGATCTTTGGTATATCCGACTACCTACGCCGTGGTAGTAGCCACCCAAGTCTGGGCAATCTAAATAGAAAGTCTTCTGGTATCTCGCCTCCACGTCTTCCAAACGCCATGACAACTGGCCATGTTCCTCAAGCAATTGTATCATGAGCCGCTCTCAAATCGGCGACCAGGCTATTTCATTCCTCCTACGCCGTCCCATAGTCTTCCCTCTCCGTATGACGCTCCTAGAATACTCCCCAGCTTTCGTGCCCGCGGGAGTTGAGCGTTTCTTTGTCGTGATAACCAACCACCCCCTGTTTCCAATGCTTTCCTTTCTACCCGGTACCTCACTCTAATCCGAGGAGCTTCTTTGAGTTTTCATACACAATCCAAGTGATGCTCAAGGCGGGAGCAACCTTGAGAAGATTGGGAGTGAGGCCCTTGTACATGCCTCGCATGCCTTCGTTCTTCAACGTCTTGTGTGCGACGTCCCATATGCCCGTGTAAGTGGCGGGGTGCATTACCGTGCCTTGCGTCTGGAGACGGGTGCGCAGCACGTTCAGTGGGTACACCACCGATGCACCAAAGGCTCCGCTGGTGGCTCCGATAAGCCCAGTCATGATGTTTCCTGGCTTGACATCTTCCTCATGGATGCCTCGGTACTTTGACATGTACCTCTTGTACGAAGTCTTGAGGAATTCAAATGTGCCCATGTCAATGGCACTGTAAGGGAACATGCCCATCAGGCCCATAGTGACACCGCGGTACGCACTACGCATTCCACCCGCTTGCCACATCTTCTTGGCGGTATCAAGAACGAGTGCATTGCCGGTGAGGCCGCCTTGGACTGTTGATGTTTGGAGGCGGAACTTTAACGTGTCAAGCGGATACACACAGAATCTGGGAGAGCCTGCAGTTAGTAAACAAAGCCGGATATAACAATGAAACAGTGACAGCGACAAAAGCCAGCACCAATGGGATGGAAACATTTGAGTTGGCAGGGATCGAGCAGCAATAATCGCGATCGAAACGGGCTAGACTTACTGGGCAACCATGCCGGCAACACCACCCGAAACAAATTTCGAGTACCCGTTGATCTGCTTGGGGTCGTTGTGGCCCTCGAGCTTCGCGAGAGTACGCTTCGCGGCCTCATAGGATCCGAATTTGATGGCGCTCTCGGGCATGATTTTGATGACGTTGAGTCCATTGCCTTGACTCGGTCAGTAAATGCATCGGGCAAACAAGCTTCAACGGCGATACCCTGGGCCGAGAGATGACTCGGACGCCGGCAGCATCGCCGCGACTGACAAATTTCGTACCTGCAAAAAGACTCCGAATGCCGCCCGCCTTCCACAGATCTTTGACGGCATCTCCAAAGGGGCGGACGGCATTGCGAAGAGCATCTACTGGTCGCCCTTGCTTCAAGGCGGTGGCAGCAGTCTCGGTGGTGGCTCGCGTGTTGACCAGCAGGTACACCTTGAGACGATCGAGAGGGGCGGTGGCAGTTCGCGAAAGTCCTCCGGCGACGGCACCCGCGATGAAATAACCTGGATCAGGAGCGAAGTCAGTCAGTCTCTTGGTCTTGCGTTCAGCAGTTGCATCGCAGCTGGAGCCTTGCTCGGAGCCAGTGACCGGTTTCGCTTGGGAGGTGCCGACGCCGGGGAGTTTTCGAATGGTCGCGAGGCCGGTATACTGTTCGTCTGCGGCCTTGGCGCCGGCCTGGAGGACCGCCGCCGCCGCCATGTCGACGTCCACGCTGTCGGTGATGGTCGGGTGTTTTGATGTCGGTATTGACGGTATTGTCGCGGTAGGGTCTCTGAAGCTGCTTGGTGAAGTCTGCTGTGCTGGTTTTGATGAGGTAGGAATTTTCGAAATGTCAGGATTGTCCTCTTGAGAGGGCACCATCGGGCCATCCGTGTCGGTGAGGGGCTCGGCCGGAGTCTCACGATCCGAAGGTGATGCGATCCTCAAAATGGATCCAAAGAGGGTTTGCAGAAGGAAGCCGGTCGTACCTAAGCCTTCAAGTGTCTCCTCCGACACCATCGAATCACCCTCAGCCGTGAGAGTGACAATGGAAGAATAAAAGTCCAGCACTGCCTTGAGCGGCGCATGGGCATTGTGCGTTGGCATAAACAGGAGGAAGTCCCTATCGGAGATGCCTTGTTAGTGAATTGCTCCTCTGCCAATTTTGCACAGATGGGATCTGGAGGGGACCACGATGTACGGCGTGTCGGCGAAGCGTCCTGAGATCTCGGTCTCCACCCTCACCGAACTACACCGAGAACACCACAACCCCTGAGGCCCCGCCATCACATGGGACCAAATTTCGGTCATTTCCAGCCCATCATCTCTGACACGAAAAGGAGAATCCTTGAGGCAAGGGGAATCAGGCTCACCTCCATTCCTCGAAGCTGATGAAGCCGTCGTTGTTCATGTCGATGTCTCCGAAGAAGGCACTGAGCTTGCGCATCGGCACAACCAGCCCGGCCCGCCTGAATGCCTCCTGCAGCTCCGTCTTGTCCAGCCGTCCATTGTTATCCTTGTCTATTGACTGGAACAATATCATGAGCTGCCTCTCGGTCTGCTCGACGAAAGTGCGGAACTCTGGCATCAACACCCATTAGCACCTCTCCTCGACCCCCAAGACAGGGGAACCCAGCCAACGAGCTCCAGCCTCAGCTCAAAACTCCCGTTCGCAGCTCACCTTCGTATTGAATCTTGCCGTCGGCGTTGGTGTCGACAACGGTCATGATCCGCCGCAACATGTCCTCCGCATTCTTCATAGCTGCAGCGCGACATCAGTACCATCCCATACGGGAGCGTCGGACAAAGAAAGATGCTGACGGTGATCGATCCTGTTCAGGCCCTTTTGCAGCCCCTTGAAGTCGAGGTAGCCGGTGCCCTGGACGTCCAATTGCTTCCAGAGCTCCTCCACGCGCTTATCGCGCTGGTTCTGCGATTCTTCCATGTCCATCTCGAGCTCGGCAACCCATTCTGTCACGCCCATGGCAGCAGCGGCATCTGGGCGCAGGGCAGTAGAGTCGGGGCTTCGGTTTCGACGCGGGAGTCATGGGGCGACGACTAGTGTTATCGGTAAGGTGAGTCGCTCGCGGGGGGTTCGGTATGTATGTTTTGTCTCATTCAGACATGGCGGGTTGGGAAAGGTGTTGTCGCGACACTTGCATGCTGCAAGTCACAAGGACTGACGTAGGAGGGATCGTGAGGTGCGGCGTCGACCAAGAAAAAGTAGAACCCGCTCCCGCCTGCCGCAAGTGGTTCGCGCAGAAGCCACAGCGTCAAAAGCTCGGCAACATGGGGGGCTTCAGAGGGTGCCGGGGTCCCACAGGCGAGACAAGCGAGGCAATCAGCTGCCGCCAATTAGCAGTCCTGCCGGAGCTTTCAGTGCTCCAAAGCTTCTGTGGCTGCCCTGTCCAGTGACAGCGGCTTCCTCTATTCCCGTCTGCCCGTCCCGCGGCACATTCCATCTTATCGTTATCGGATGACGCGCACCGCCACACTACCTATAGACGTAGGAACTGCCACAACCTCTTAGTGTTCACCAGCCTCGCAGCCATTCTCTAACTTCAACCCTCAGCCTTGCATTCCTCCGTTCCAACCGGGCACCTCTGTCAACCGGCTGTACGGTGCAATTGAGACGCAAATCATGACATAGGGCTCGAATCGATACTGCTCCAGGTCGTCATGGCTGCCAACTACTGGGAGTCGACCCAGCGTCGCTTCTGGCTCTTCTCGAAAGACGACCTCGGTGCGGTGCGACAGAAGCTGGAAGACGACAATGCCGACCTCGTCCAGATGTTCTCCCTCCCGCAGCAGCGGCACCTAGGCGTCTACTTCAACCAACGTTTGTTCCCTCCCGCGTTTCTTCGCCGAGACTGTCTCGCTCACTCAAACCACAGAGGTTAATCGCCTCGGTAAACGAATGGTTGTCCGTCAACAGGCCATGGCCACCGCCCAGGTCTACATCAAGCGCTTCTACACAAAGGTCGAAATCCGCCGAACGAACCCATACCTCGTCGTAGCGACCGCCCTCTACCTGGCTTGTAAGATGGAGGAGTGCCCACAGCACATTCGTTTGATTGTCAGTGAGGCGCGCTCGTTGTGGCCTGACTTCCTCGGACTCGACACCTCGAAACTCGGCGAGTGCGAGTTCTTCATGATATCCGAGATGAGCTCCCAGCTCATCGTCTACCAACCATACCGCACACTCAATAACTACCAGCAAGAGCTGGCTTTGACCCAGGATGACGTTGCGCTGGGCTGGTCCATCATCAACGACCACTACATGACAGACCTTCCTCTTCTGTATCCACCGCACACTATTGCCTTGACTGCAATCCTTCTCGTGTTGGTCCTCAGGCCGTCGTCCAGCATGTCAGGATCGAACCAGCCAACGGCGGCGGGCATTGCTGCTGCGAGTGCGGCCCTAGCCCAGGCCCAAGGCAGGGCTCCTGGACTGCCTCCGACCCCAGGCACCCCGAACTCCGCGGACAAGGAGAAGCAGCCGGATCTTAGGTTTGGCCGGGTGCAGCGTTATGGTGCCTGGTTAGCTGAGAGTAGTGTCGACATCACCGCCATGGTTGACTGCACGCAGGAGCTCATTTCTTTCTACGAATGTCAAGAGCAATACAACGACAAGCTCACTCGCGAGCAGATCAATCGCTTCGTCAAAGCACGGGGGCTTGACAAGTGAAGCGAGCACAGCCTCAGAGTTGTCCATACAACCAATCATACGATACTCAAGCAGGAATGTTACTTGTAAGCATCGCGGTAGCTACGTCGACACAGATAATATTGTTGTATGGCTTTGCCAGGTGAAGTCAGATGACCTGTTAGGATGAAGGATGCCGCGTCTGTCCTGCAGCTGCGAATCATGAGTTCGCAAAGCTAGCTAGTCGATCCAGACCAGTAGGTTCAAAGCGAACAGCATCCGAAATTCGAGGCGCAATGGGTGCAACACGGGTCATGCAGAAGGCGGAATTAACGATTTGAACGAGACAACGAGGAATGAATAACAGACGTATAGTCGTACTACACAACGCCCCCCAATGCCATCGCCTGGCACTCTCATGATCTAGTTCTGGTCTATCCATTGAAGCTCCAGTGCAAGGGCGCAAAAGAACATTCGGACAACCGCATCGGCTGTGATTTGTTTCTCCACTCATCGACGACAGTTGCTCAGAAACAAGAACTGGCTCAAACGAGCTTCGATCAGCTATCTAAATCTCCAAGCCTTCACCTCCTTTGAGAGGTTGCCTAAGCAGGATGGGGATATCAACATCACTCGCCGAAGCGGCACTGGCGCTCTTCTTCGCCATTCCATACTTCGTTTGGGTCGTTGCGGTCCCGGCAGCTACAGTAGCTTATCTCTCACGTCGGCGCGGCGCCGAATCATCCCAAGTCTATCCCTCTGAAGGCGACAAGACGTTAGAGAAGTCTAAGTCGCAGGTGGCCGATGACCCGGACGCCCCGGTCTCCGTGAACTACTTCCCCTCCCGCGAATGCAACTACGCCTGCGGGTTCTGCTTCCACACCAACATCTCAGGCTATATCCTGCCCGTGGATGAGGCCAAGCGCGGCCTGCGTCTCCTCAAGGAGGCCGGCATGCGCAAACTCAACATCGCCGGCGGGGAGCCCTTCCTGCACCCAAAGTTCCTAGGAGAGCTTCTCCGGTACTGCAAAGAGGATCTAGACCTCGAGAGCGTGAGCATCGTCAGCAACGGAAGCAAGATCCAGGAGAAGTTCCTCCGTGAGCACGGGCGGTACCTGGACATCCTCGCCATCTCGTGCGACTCGTTCGTCCGGGAGACGAACAAGGCGATCGGGCGCGGGGAGAACGGCCAGGCGGACGGAGACCACGTGGCGCAGGTCTTCCGCATCGCGGAGTGGTGCCGGGAGTACGGCATCATGTTCAAGCTCAACACGGTCGTCAACATCTACAACTGGGACGAGGATATGGCGGCGCAGATTGCGGAGCTGGCGCCGTTCCGTTGGAAGGTGTTCCAGTGCCTGATCGTCGAGGGCGAGAACGAGGACGACACGCGGGTGCGCGACGGGCGGAAGTTTCTCATCTCCGAGGAGCAGTGGAGGACCTTCTGCGACAGGCATAAACACCTGCCGTGCTACGTGCCGGAGGATAACCAGACGATGGCCGGGAGCTACCTTCTCCTGGACGAGCGTCTGCGCTTCCTCGACAAGGGCGACGGGCCGATGAAGAAGAGCGATTCTTTGCTGGATGTCGGGGTGAAGAGGGCCATGCAGCAGGTTGCGTGGGATAAGAGCGCTCTTGACAAAAGAGGTGGGGTTTACGAGTGGCGGAAACCGCAGAACGTGGATGGCGATGGAGGTTGCGGTGGTGGGGATAAGAAGGAACTGGAGTGGTAGGGCTGGGATGTTGTAATTCTGCTCGGCAGTCATCAAGACCAGCCGAGACTACTTCAAGAATTTGGGAAGATGGGAGACGGGTTGATTGTGTTGGTTTCACTGGGCGTTGATCTGGAGTTCAAAATGCTGCAAAGTCTTCATGCCCTTCATCTGGCGCAGAACCAAGCTTGTCTTGGCCAAGAGCACATTCTGAGGGTTTGTATTGGAGGCAACGGCTTGGGTAAATCTCAGGGGACAAGATGATGGATGTCGGCATTGTGGTAGGGAATGAGGTGGATCGTGGCAGCGATCGTGGCCATGTCACGGGGCGGAGGCGCAGTAGCCCGGCGCCGTCATCAACGCACAAGCCTCACCACCGTCCCAGAGAGACTGTGGTTGATTGAAGCAGAGCAATCACTTTCTGATAATTGAACGGACCCCAGGCCCATGTTGGGATTCATTAATGCAGGTAGGGAGGGTGCGAGACAAAGACTGGTTCAAGGAGGATATTTGGGTCTCGCCTCTTCTTATTCGCTCCCGCTGACCATAAGTCAACTTGCTGTAAACAAGTCTGTGGGCATTCTTTGGGTTTCTAACAGCCGCTAAATAAGTGCGCACTATGGCACCTTTTTGACTCCATATCTCTAATCACATCTGTGCCAACATCATAATTTCCTTCATTCACAAAGTGTTGGATATCGGTGACCCTCGAAGCCAAGGCGGTATCAATTACCTTCCAACTGTCGAGACGACAACCAACAGCTTACCCCTGGCCTCCAGCCACCCCTCTCTGTTGGTTCGGCCGGCCATACCCAACCAACCAAAAAATGAACAACAGTTCATTTCGACAACTTCCTCTCTTTCAGCTCGCGTTCAAATCTTTCGCGCGACCCTTAAACTTATAGCAGATGCAAGCTGGTTCCCTACCAACATCGTTAGCCTCATTTCTTGACACCTTCCATACCTATCTTGCTCCGAATTCTCGAACATGTCCCAGTCTTTTGAATACTCGCACGACGCTACCGTCAAAGCCATCACATCCTTTTACGAATTCATGGTACGCTTGCATGGAGAAGAGGCGGCGCTAATGGAATATCCACCCCCAACCGGCTGGCCGCAAATCACGTACGAATCTTTCGCCGGCCTGGGTAAGACGAAGGAGGTCATTGATCTCTTGAGGCACATTCCTTATTTCGTTATCGACCCATGCATCCTAAAGTCAACTAGGCCAAGATTATATCGACAGCCAGTTCTGTGAGGAAATCAAGAAATGGCCTGCTCTCGAGCCCGCCGAGCTGGACAACGAAGAGGGTAGACTTCCGGGTTACATCGTGAGCCTTGCATCAGCTTGGGAGGAGCAGGTTGGATGGACTCTCCTAATTGACACCAAGCGTGGAGTTGTAATACTGTGGAAGAACGACGGTGATCTTCCCGGTTGGGCCTGGGATTGGGATGCGGATATGTACGATGTGGATGCAGACCAATACGGGCCTGAGGGATGGAAATGCATGCCGACCTACCGCATCGAGACCTTCTTCGAATTCTGCAAGGAGCAGTACAGAATCATGAACTGGACGCCGGATCTTCTTCGGGGCGACGCATGTCAGCCGAACGACAATGACAACCCCTCCGAGGACGACTTGAGGAGGAGACAGATAATGAGAGATGCTGGATGGCCAGGCACCGATGGAGACGGTACTGGATGGGACAGGGAGAAAGCAGAGAAGGACCTCGAATGATACGAGGAAGAGATAAGGTCGTTGCGAAGACAGAACTCAACCTAAATCTTGATCGTCAAGAAGAGATGTAGTGAAGAAAAATTCGCTTGCGGGCACATCATTAAAGCCCATGCTCGCTCACTCTTTACGAGCGCTTTTAGTTCTTCCTCAGCTCGCAAAGAACTTTTCCAGACATACCCCTCAGGGCATGGCAGCAATGCTACATACTCCTCTTGATCACATACGATTAACAGGCAAAGTCGCGCCTCGTGGTAAGCTTTGAAATCTGATGCCCCCTATCTCACCTACACTGGCAGTGACAGAGTGACCTCATGTTCGTGTCTTCCTTCACGATTATCCGCATCCGACCCAATGTACGGAGAGCGCTTCTGGAAGCCCTATCAGAGAGGCGCTGTGGCTCATGCAGGACAAGAGGCTCTTGATATTAAGGATACACTAGCCAAGCGGGCCGCCCATGACAGCCGGTGGGATGCCCCATTGATGTGCTTCTTAATCAACCACTTTGAACTTAGCCTAGTGCGCCTCGCTGGGGAATTTTCTTAGGTCAACGAGCTGTCACTCAGAGACGTGTACTTCATTGAAGCCCATTCGCCTACGTCTTCAAGGGTGCGCTCCAGCCCCGGCTGCTCTTGAAACGGAACGATAGACGTCAAATGAACATGTCGGCGGCTTGCGTGATGACAGGACCAACCGGCATTTTCAGGTACAGGTGATGATTGCACGGCAGTCAATTAGGAGGCCGGCAGTCAGAGTCGTATGGAGTGGTGTTCTCACTACATAACCAAGAAACACCACTGAGATGCCAGGTCAGCGTCCTTCTGGTCTCTCATCCTCTCCTGTGCCGGTCAAGCCATTGGCTATCCATTCATTTCCATCCTTTACAGTCTTCTCCATTCCAACCTCACATCAAGATGAGGTCTTCCACCCTCCTTAGCTTAGCCGCTACCATCTCCAGCGCGTCCGCTCATTACTTCTTCCCCCACCTCATCGTCAACGGCAACTTCACTGGCTACAACGAATATGTCCGCGAGAATACCCAGGGCTACATGCCCCTGAAAAACGGATACGACAGCACAGACCTCCGCTGCCGGACTGACTCCATGCAGTATGCAAGCAAGACCGGCGTCTACAAGGTGAAGGCCGGCGATGAGGTTGGGTTCGGCCTCAACTTCGGCGGGCGGATCCAGCACCCCGGCCCGATGCAGGCATACCTTTCCAAAGCTCCGGGCGACGTGCGAGAGTACGACGGCTCCGGCGACTGGTTCAAGATCTTCGAGCTGGGCCCCAAGACATTCTCCAGCGAGGGCATCCAGTGGGGTGCCTATGACGTCGGCAACTGCACCTTCAAGTTGCCCCAAGCGACTCCAGCAGGACAGTATCTCCTCCGTATTGAACATATCGGCGTCCACGGAGCGGGAGATTTTGGTGGGGCTGAGTTCTACTTCAACTGCGCGCAGATCGAGGTCGAGAATGCGAGCGGCGCCTCCGGAGTGCCGGGGCCGTTGGTCAAGATCCCCGGCTTGTACACCGGCCACGAGCCTGGTATCGAATTCTACATGTACCGCCCGTGGATTGTGAACTACACCATGCCCGCCCTGCCGTGTGGCCGCAGCCCCTTGCGGCGAACGTCACGGCTGATGGTGTCAGCATTGCCCCGACTGCTACTCCTTGGACTCTCCCGGCAATCACCTCGACTCTTGAGGCGGAAAATACGGTGCCTGCAGCGACGACGACTCTCGCCTCCAACTCTACGTCTCTTGAACAGCCCGTTGGAGGACTTGTCTCTTCAACGTTGAGTGGAAGTGTTCAGACGGCTGAAGCGGTTTTGCTACCGTCCACGACATCAACCTCGAGCTCGGCGATCGTCTCCGCAACCAGCACCTCCAGAAAGTCGCGATGCGCTCCACGAAGCACGGTGATTCAGACTGTCTACGTTACTGCAAATTTGTAGGAGACTCGGAGTGTCATACTACACCCGGAACTCGATCTTCTCCTTCCACAGTGTAACTTTCCATGAAAACGTGCGATTAGCCCTCAGAGAATGCCAAAAGTTATAAGCCTGAATGAACCACAGAGTGCATGTCCCGTCATCTTCGCCCGTGAGTTTCAACGTTCCCCTTCTAGCGGTGGGATACCGCACCACCGCCAATGCGCCGGCACATCCGGAGATCTTTTTGTGGCTACTGAAGTATGACCGAAACCTAGTCTGGAAGTTTATTCAGAAGGTTCACGACACTTTTGTGCTGCTTTACGTGATGACTTAAATTCGACGAACACCTCCCTTACAAGGCCCGTCATCTCAATCCTTCCTCTGTCACTTCCAATCACAATGTGGTCATCATCCCTATTCAGAGGCCCGCCCATTCCCCGTGCAGTATTGCCCATACTCTTTACACTTTCATTCATAAGCATCTCGTTGATAATAATGAAAATGCGATCGAACACCAGTCTCAACTTCACGAGTAAAATCCTCCGAGGCAAGGACGAGATACCAAACCAAGTGCACTTTGTCTGGGCACTCTACGACATTGACTCTGAGCTTGAATTCGCCTTCGAACAATACCTATCGATGTACTCAGCCTGGTTCTATCTGAAACCACACACCATATATCTCCATACAAACGCCAAGGAAGCTCAAATCGACCGCGCTCGCAACGGATCCTCCGGAAAGTGGGCTGCGCGAATATTCTCGATGCCCGGTCTTCAAGTGAAATGGATAGAAGCCCCGCGTAAGACGAATAAAGGAGTCAAATTAGCATATAAAGAGCATATTTCAGACTTTATGAGAGTCAAAGCCGTCCATGAATATGGCGGTGTGTACATTGATTTCGACGTACAGGTGTTACGGGATGTGGCTGCGCTGCGCAAGAGTGGATTCACGGCTGTCGGGGGGCGACAGATAGACCAAAACTTGAACAGCGGCACATTCATGTCGAAAAAGGGTGCCAAGATGACGAAGCTATGGATGGAAAATATGCACAAGGTCTACAACGGCGGGTGGACAACACACAGCAATTGGTGCCTGACCAGAGTTGCGGAGAGTCTGGTTCGCGAACCAGGCGAGGTGCTCATCCTCGACAGTAAAGCTTTTGCGCCAGTTGGTTGGAACCCGGAGGACGCGATTGAGTTATTTGGGCTACACAACGAGACTCTGGAGCTCGACATGGACGCCGGATTAACAGCGTCAGCGGATGATGGAGAAGTCAAAATTGACTGGACTCCCATCAAGTCATCGTGGCCCCTGGATTGGACAGCAACTTATTTCTTACATGCTTTCACGCCAGATTGGAACGTCATTCCTGTAGAACGGTTTCATGGAGTCACGCCACACTATGTTCTAAGTCGTCAGAGCAACTACGCATTAGCGACATATCCTGTTGTGAAGCATATGTACATCAATGGTCTCGTGACAATGGAGGATGGGGAGTATTAGGCGGGGCAACGGTCAGGCAGAGTCATAGCATGTTTGAGGAGTAGCATCTTGATAAGTATATATACATAAAGCAGGCATGAAAAATGAGATGGTCTTGGTGCTCAAGTCTTACCAAGGAATAGTCCCATTTCTACTCGAAAATGTCGCTGACACCCCACTTCTCTTCTCCAACGTAGCCATCTCTACAATTCTCCTAGCGCCCAGCTCGGGCGAGGCAGCCCCATGACTTGCCAAGATCTCTTCGCCCATAGATGCTGTCATCTTGGTGTCGACCAATCCTGGGCAGACAGCATTCGCAACTCCTCCAACATCTTTCAGTACCTTAGCATAGCCGACAGTCAACATGTTGACCGCGGCCTTGCTGGCATCGTACGGATTGAATGCGAGGTCTTGGAACGCCAAGGTGGTGTCTAGCGCTGCGCCCATCGATCCCTTGGTAGAGCTGACGAAGACGATCCGCGGGAATTCGGACTTGCGAAGAAGCGATAAGAGTTTTTCGGTCAAAACGGCAGTGCCGACGACGTTTGTGGCGAAAGTGGATGTTCACTGCTCGCGGACGGAGAGGCTGTGCCTCACGTCAAAGTGTACAGCGGCGTTGTTGACCAAAACATCGAGCTTGCCAAATGTTTCTGAAATGTAGGCGGCAGCAGCAAGTATGTCTGCGTCAACCGTGAGATCGAGTTGTACAGCTGACGCGAGCAGACCACGAGACTTCAGTGAATCAGCTACATCTTGACCGGCAGCAAGGCTCCGAGAACCAATGACGACATGGTAGTGGTGGTCCGCCGCTAAGATTTCGGCAACGGCATGGCCAATCCCGCCATTGGCTCCTGTAATAAGAGCAACTGTTGGATATTCCATGGTGTTGAGTATTGCGATGAAATGTTTGGGGAAAGCTTTTGGGAGATCTTGGTTTGGTATGTTTTGTTCCTCTTCTCTTCACTCTCAATTATATATACTATCCTAAATGACTCACGATGATATTGTCTCTGTGAAGGACGACTCATCATGATGATGTTTCGTAAAGGGCGGGAAGAGATAAGAGATTTGTGATGGACTCGTTATTCGAGGCGGTAAGTTGGCTCACCTGAGCTTCATTGGCTTAAGAGATAGGAGTTATCCCCGGGCTAAAGGCAGCAATTCAACGAAAGCTACGTCCCCCAGCCGAGCTCAGCAACATCCGTCACTAGAGAACTACCTCTTATAAAACTCAGTCATGCTAACGCAGCACCCTAGACTCCTTCGCAGCTGAAACTGCAATCAATGTTTCAGAGAGGCCCCGGATGCCGTCGCCGGCGAGATAGAAGCCGGCGCCGTGCGGGGCTATGCGGGGCCGCGACTCCGGGAATAAGCGGAGCGGCCCAAGTATGAGTGATTTGCGGATGATCTAAGTATTCTACCTGATGATGAGCTTTGGCATCAAAATCTATCCAAGTCAGAAGAAGTGTCTAAGGGAAAACAGCAGATTCGAGAAAGCTGAACACAGCCCGATTTTCTGTGTCAAGCCAGGAGGTGCTCACCCCGCGCTTGGTGCGTCATGACTTATCAACCCAGCGACGGCTTCAGCTTTCAGACCGAGGCACTACGCATGCAGACCGACGTCGATGGAGCTCTTCGGCAATTCAGGTTATTGTCTGAGCAGGTTGAAAACGGGACTTTGATCATGAGAAGCTACTGCGTTATGATGAACATAGGCAAGTCCGGTCCTTGACCAATGTCTTGGTCTGTCTCAGCCTGCAATGAACATAAAGGCTTCAGAGTCTCATCCCGATTCATATAAATCAACTACTAAAGGAAAGCCAATTTACACTCCGTCCGGATCCCCAGGCTCAATGACCTAAGCTCCAGCCGTCTGTCAAGCCTCTCGCCGCCACCAAACACCCAAAGTATATCCCCCTCGGCTCCATCAACATGAGAACTCATCCTGGGCTCTTGATTGGTGGCTTAAGTCCACCAAATAAGTAGCTAGCCAAGTATGTTACGCCTAGCACTTGATCTTCGAGCCTTTCTGCGGCGTGAACCCAGCTACTTGGCAGCAGTTCTCCTTGACTCCTTTGCCGCTACCCGGGCTTGCACCATGGTAGACATCCCACTTATACGCGTTGCAGTTGTGGAACTTTTCGTTCGTAGAGCCTGCGGTGTTCGGGTGAGGCCTGGTCCTTCCTCTCGGCACCATCCCGCGCAGGGGCGGAAGACCCAAGCTGGGTCCGATGAGGAGGAAGAAGAGGATGACACTCCAGAGTCTAAGCATTTTGATGATAGGTTTCGTTGAGAATATGACAGTTTCAGCAGTAGATCGTCTAGATGATGGTAGTGATGATGCTTGTATGCCATCACAACTTGCGGAAAATGCAACTACCTTCTCTCTTATACCTGACTTGACTTCCATCATCGCCCGCAACGAGTGAGGCCTGCGTAAGCCAAAGGATAACTTCACTGATTTCCGAGGTATTTTTCCTCTAGACAAAAGCATGGCTTGCGTGTTCATATCGTTGAGTTCAGCATAGCGCAAAAAGGAAGCCATCTCCGTCGGCGCAAACGTGACTCGCGCGGGGCGTCCACCGGAAGAATTCCAACGAAGCCATCGCCGGCCAGGCCACGGCTGGGTGGACGTCGCTGTGAAAGGGTCACAAATACCCGCCGCTCCAGAGTATTGGGTTCGCGCACTGCATCCCGCGTTTAACCAGCGCGGGGTCGTAGTCTGGCGCTAGCGAAACTGCCGACGATGGAATCATGCTTGCTGCCCGAATGGGATTGTTGGAGTTTCCCAGCTTGTCCAGGGTCCACGGACAAGACTTCTTGATGCGCTTGATGGAAATTTGTTGTTGAGCTATGGGGGAAAGGCATCCGTGTAGAGTTGTCAACCACAACCAATCAGATGGTTGGTCCCTTAAAGATACTTCACGACGGGCCCGTCGCGAGGGGTAGAGTTATGCAAGGTGCAATATTGACAGAAGGTTTTCGGGGTGGGGAAAAGAGCGCTTCTTTACACTTGAATGGCATAAACTTATCTATATACTCTGTAGCTTCCTATTATCGTGTCTACGCGGCTCCTTCAAAGTATCCGGTCCCGTCCACCGGCTCCTTATTCTGCGCTAACCCGGCTGGACCTGCGGACTAGTCCGCGATATCCCCAGCACACGATATCCCGCGCGGAGGTTAGGGACACAATTGCAGTAGGCTCGGAAACCTAGAGGACCCCTGGTGGTTGACTTGCGAGATAAGGCCACAAGTCAGCGAGTTAATCCTGTTGGGAGAGTTGACTCCGCTTTCCAAGCTCTCGCGCCGCGTTGGTGCGTCTGGCGGCTGAGTATGATGAAGGATCTCC